CCTGGGACAGTAATCTCTATTTCATACTAAATATATCGGCCTAAATGTCTGCCAAAAGGGGTCGTTTTTGACTATCAACGAAATCGTGATTTCGCCTATATTCAAACTTTTTTATGGAAAATTAAAGGTGAAATTTAGAAAAGGGGCCTCGGTTGACAAAGCAGAATATGTTTTTCTTTTCAGGTTTACAATTTTATTCAACTCTGCCAATCCCTAAGCGCGGTACCACTGTACCACCAAATGAAGTTTGCCCAAATAAACTGTTTTTGTCAATTTTCACGTGAGCATTCTGAAAAAAGTTTACGCCATATTACAATAAAATTTAGCGTAGCTCTTTCGACTGTAATCGCGACTACATGTAAAACGTTTCAAACAAAATGACCGACTGGGCGCCGCAAGATTCGCGACTGAATGTGCTTCCGCGAAGTCAATGTTTCTCAAGTAAATATCTGTCAAAATAAAATAAAAAACGAGTAAAGGGCCTCCGTTGACAATGAACGCACTCTTCTTTCATAACATTCTAAAATTTTAACGAAATTGCTCCAATAGTGCACCCTACACCACTGTACTACGAAACCATGTTTTGCCAAAAAGCCCAATATTCGCGGGTGCCCACTGAATTAGCTTTTTGCATTAGAAAAACAAATTCTACATCAGAGGAAAGATAATGTTGTACACTGCAAGATGATATATAACACATAATTTTAGCAAGCTTGAACACACCACAATCGCATTTCGAAAACGCGCGGAAAGCGTCATATGTCATGGCCGCCGTGGGACCGCAGCCTTAATTCGATGCTTTTCACTTTTTTTTTTTTCTTTTTAAGATTCCTACTAGATATTTATACGCCTATTCTTTTTCTGGTTGTTTTGGTACTATGTTCTCAACACTTCTAGGTACTTCCTGTATTTGAATTTCGCTTAGTTTTGGCTTATGCCCTCGCTCCTTAGCTTCTTGTTCCGGTTCTGATTCGCCAAATTTTATCTTAGTTCTCTTGGGGTCACTCCCTAAGCTTTTCCTACCTTCTTCATCTATTTCCATACTTCCTAACTCGTAGTACAGATTGTGGGACATGAGGTAGTAGCCTATTGTTGAGTGTGAGTTGTTTCGTTTCCATGCTATTTTCTCGTCGAATTTTACTGGTGCATTAAGTAACATTAGGTCCAGGGCATCACACAAATCTTCTAAGAACTTTCCGGCTGTATTTGTGTACCCGTCAAACTCTTCTAAGTAAGCATTCATATCTCCTAAGATAATTATCTCCTTATTAAGGCCAATTTCTCTGATGTCCCTCGATATATACATGCAAAGTGTCCTGTATTTTCCTCCCTTGAGTCATTTCCTGTTTTCAAGTAAGCAGACCCCAGCAGAGTGTTCAGACCTGTTACTTTACCTTTCAGCCATAAGTGTCCTTTGCAGCTTTCCTTCTCTCTTTCCCAGTGTCGTCCTTTAACTAGCATGCCTAGACCTACGCCTTTGCGTTCACCTCTCCTCCGGTGGCATCCCATCCAGGAGTAGCCCCTGATATGTACGGTGGTTCCTCCTGTGAAAGTTTCAGCCTCTGATTTCTCACCAATCTCCTCCCACTTTATACTGTTTCTACCTCCCTGCATGTTTATGAACCCTGTATTGAGCCGATTTTTTCGCATATTCCTACGGGTCTTCCTCCTGCTCCTGCGGTGCTCGCACCCAGGAGCAGGTGCATATGGCATTGGTACATCTACACCGGTGCCCTTCAGGTAGAAATGGGACATTTTTGGAAATTTTGAAGTCCGGAAAGAAGCTACTAAACAAACAACTTTGTTTTGAAGAAGTTATGGAAACATTAGAAAATGTGTCTAAGCAGGAACGATCCAGCAATAATCTAAAAGATTGTTTCAAAATTCAATAACGGCAAGAGTTTTTTTTTTTTTTTTTTTTTTTTTGCGAATTTTTGTGGTGTATAGTATGATCTTATAGTAATTGTCATAGCGTTAACGTGAATTGTCAATTTAGAGGAATCTTCGCTACTCATGTGGCAACTGTTAGCAGAAGAAACAGAAGAAAGCTGATCCAAACGGTAAATCCAAAAGAATTAAGTCCAGTCCACCGGTATAACGCTTTGGCTAGCTTTATACTTTGCAAACCCTTGTGCGCAACGCTCTAAGTTCTCGGAACTCGGGAGCAGGGGCGGATTTAGAGAGGGGGTCCGGATGTCCTGACCCCCCTCTTGATTTCTGCATGTGTAAAATTTAGGGCGTGAAACGAGGGAAAGGGAGGGGGGGGGGTTCCTAAACATATGGTACGCTGACCAACACCTGAACTCCCCCCCCCCCCCCCCCCCCCTTTCAGGAAATTCCGGCATCCGCCCCTGCTGCAGCGTTTGCAAGGATCTGTTTGAACTTTCCGCTGCCATGGCGAGACCCCGTTCAAATGCGTGGATGAACTTCGATGTGCTCAACAATGGTACAGGGAAAGCTGTGGGGAGATTTTGTTGTGCCAATTACGAATTTCCAAACGCAACCTGTTTGAGGCTTCACATCGCAAGGTGTTCAAAGTGACCTCAGGACATTGGACCTGCTGCAGAATCAGCCAAATCGGCAAGGTCAGAATCTGAAATGATGTATCCCTCAAGGAGAAGCCCTTCCATGGAAGTTGTGCGCCCAGAACGTCCACATCCGGAAAGTGAAAGCGCAAACTGTCGAGGAGAAACTGATAGCCTCAACCAGCATACTTAGTAGTACATCAACCAGCATAAGGCGATGTATGCCATGATATGATTACATCACAGAAGTGGCGGGGAGCTCAGGTCGTTATGCGGGAAAAGTGCAGTCCAATCTCCCTGAATACAGAATCCTGTCAAGTGCGTGGTCAAGGAAGGAACTGGACGATTCGGGAAAGCAATTATCCCACCATCCACGTGGTGGCAAGGGCTGTGTGCATGTGAGCCATTGACACCAACTGCCTGTCGTCTACTTCAAGTTCCACCATACTCTGCTGCCTGCAAACAAGACTTGTCGAAGTTCGGCACTGTCCACACCAAAAGTAGGAGCAGGCTTAAGGAACAGAGTGCAAAAGCTAATGTTTGTGCGCTCCAACCTCGATCTCAAGGGTCTTGATCTGACATACGACGGCGGAAATGACTCAAGCATGGATTCAGAGTAGCCTCAATTAGCCTACTGCTTTGGAACGTGCTTCTTCTTTGAGAGCATTAATCTAGTCAGCAAATGTGTCCTTAGTCAATCGTTGTTTGTTTCAAGTTTGGTTGTGTTCTGTTAGTTCTAGTTACAGCTGTACACTTGAAAGAGAGAGGGAGATGAGCCAATAAATCAGCGTTCAACTTGCACTATTCCTTATAAAAATCGTGTATTGCTTTTACTTGAATGGTTAACATGAATCAATAGTTCGTCAATTCTGATAATATCTCAGTACTCAAAAGTATACACTTGCCGGTGCGTTGTGGATGCTTGATTGTGTATTATGGGAGAAATTATTTTGTTGACTAACACCGTGTTCTGCCGTTGTCAAAGCAGTGAAAGCCGTATTGTTTGGGAAACATGCCATAGATGTAAACACTTGGCGTTTTTTAGATGCATGCACAAGTTATGGCAACAAACTTTAAACAGAACTATAAGTTAGAGCTCCTCTACTTTCAACGTTCTCCAAACTTATTTTGATATAACTTTTTGTAACCATTTTTTAATATACTGCCACGCGAGCGAAAAAATGGTGCATAATGTTTAGTGCAATTCACGCAACACCACCACGGAACGAGGGGTAAACTTCAAGCGCTCAAGCTTTTACGTTATACCGCTGTCACACTGTTTCTCTCTTTTGTGGCCTGACTAATATACCTGCTTCGAGAGAGAAAATGAAAATCAATTTATTGGCCCACAAAAATGACGCATAGAACTCCAACTGCACGAGAATGTGGCGCTAGCGGTGGTGATAGAATGCTGAAGTTTGAGGACATGATGTCACCTGGATCTAAAATCAAAACCGAAAAACAATACTTTTTCTGTAAACCAAGGCCCCCCCCCCCCCCCCCCCCCAAAAAAAAAAGAGCTGTAAAAAAAAAATTAGGGATTTTGTGTGCCTGTAGTATCTGCAAAATGCAGATACTACAGTGCAATGCGATGCAATGCAATGCAAAAACCTGCCAGCAAAAAAAAAAAAAAAAAAAAAAAAGAGAGAGCAAAGCTGTCTTTCTTGCCGACTAGTGTTGGTAAAAAAATGAATCCAACAGGCTCCAGTGGCATTTCTTTGTTTGACAAATACTGGCTTACGTAAACGTCGGCTAAAAAAACAAAAATGTTCGCGACTCTGTTTTATTTTTCGATACCGATAACTCGATGTTCACAAACTTACGTGTTTTATAGCGCTAGCGCTACATTCTCAGTGATCTTCAGCTTTCTGTGATGTGTAGTTTATGCGAGTCTGAAAAGTAGACTAACGTAAGCTTTATTTTCTTTCACAAACTCGGCCTTTTTCCTCAACTTTTTTTTTTTAATGAAACTTTATGAAAAGATGCATTTCATGGTCACTTTTAGTTTAGTCATTTCGACAGTCGTTGAAAAAATTAGCTTAACAGTTTTTTCTTTTTTTTATCTTAAAAAAACTGAGTTTCGGTTGTTTTTTTTTTCTTTTTTTTTTTTTATTGTTAAAGGAATGATTTTGTGGGTTTCCGGGTTTTTTCCGAGTCCTCGCGTCCCTACCTCCGGGCTCTTTGGGGCTTCAAAAAAGCTGCAAAATAAGTTGACTATTGTTAGCCGGGAATGCCAAAAGGGCGAGCTATTTGCTTTGGATGAAGCCTCGGCGGCTGCACGAGCGTGCGTGCAGCGAGTGCTTCAGTCAAAACAGTCAATGCCACCCGCTCGCGCTTACAGCCTGAGCCTTCGCAGTTGACCCATGCTAAGGTGAGACGAAGCATAGATGAACCACGCAGACTTCAAATTCGCGCGCGCATTTTAATTCGACATTGCCAATTCTTGCGAGGCGATCGGTAGCCGATAGCCGATATGCGAGCCGCGATCTAAGTAAGATTACTAGCCATGCCGAGCTGAGACGACGTAGGAGTCGGGACCCACTTTGCTTGAAAACGCGCGAACGAGCGAAAAACGTAAACAAACGCGACATTTTAACATGATCGCATCGTTTCCTGGATCTGCTGGCTATTATGCGAGGAATATCCTGCAATAATGAGCCAGGACGCTTCTAGTGCCGCAGCCGAGGTCGCGTACGCTTTCGTCGCAAAGCTGGGCAACGCGAAGGACCTTTCGCAGCTACTGAAAGCCGTCAACTTCAAAGAGGTAGCCAGCCGACAGAAATATTAATTGTGCTTCGATGATAACCCGTCTTCGTTACTCCGACTCACCACACTCTTCCCCGTTGTCTGACTTAGGTGGCTACGGTGGAGATAAACGAGATCGGCATCAGGGTGATCGTTCAAGATGCCAAGTGCCTGCAGGCGATCGCGTTTGTGCAGCGCGAACTCTTCGACGATTACGTCCTCAAAGAGACATCGCTGTCGTTCGACATCAGATTATCCATCCTCCTGGTAAGAAGCGCCGTGGTTCGTCACTATCCTTTTTCTCACCCTCGGGCAGCTGTTCAATATTCTCTGAGACTGTATCGAGCAGATGCGCAGGCGCCAACTTTTCAATGCTTGTTTTTACGCTGTGTCTTGAGTGCCGTCGCACCTTCAAGTGCCGTCCGAAAGAGCTGAGCACAAGTCACGCTTTTTCTGACATGTGTTCCATCAGCTGCTCGCCGACAATTTGTTTTAACAGAAAGCGCGAGCGAGACAAGCGCTACACGAGTGAGCAGCATGCTTTCTTAGGTATGTCTATGCCTGCGTGATGCAGGTGCGCGATCTCATTTCTCAAGTTTACCGAAGTGGCACCCTCTCGAATGTTGCCATTATGATTTAAAATAAATTTTTGTTTAAATCCCGCGTTCTCCAGTAACAGTAACAACCTCTAATCTTTTTTTTTTTTTTTTTTTTTGGGGGGGGGGGGGGGGGGGGGGGAGGCACGCATATTGAGTCTAGATAGTTGTGAGACGATAGAGTACTAGCCAGGCATGCTAACCATCATTCGTTAATTTTCAGATATTATTTGTTATGAAGAAAGTTTTACAGAATCTGAGTATAGACATGTAATTAGCAAATTTAACACAAAAAAAAAAAGTACAGCGAAAGTAGGCATACTAGTTCCGGCCACAAAGTGCCAAAAGCAAGATATTCTTCACGAAAGGACGGTATTTTCTCGGTAGGACGGCAGTTGAATGCGGGTTTGAAGTGCCGTCGGACAGCACTTAAACGCTTTGCAAGAGCGCCGTCGGACGGCATTCTAGGTACTGCATTGTTTTTATGGCAAGGTAATTCGGTAAACAAACTAGTGTTTTAGTATTAAAATGTTAAGCCGAAAAAGTTCATTAAAAGAAACAAAACAAACTAGGGTTTCATTTTGGTGTATTTTTACGCGAGAGATATAATCCCGGCTGCTGGCTAAGGACCTCGGAAAACCAAACAAAAAAATGCCGACAGTGTCCCGTCGTTGGCTGGCTACGTATCTGATAGGCACGATATCCGTCTGTATACACTGGCATTCATGAAGGACATTTTTTCCAAGAAATAATTCCAAATACAAGGGTTAAAAGAAGACTCCAAAAAACAAGCTTAATTGTACCTGAGAGTAATCTAGCTGGTGATTGATCAAGCTTGTTCTGGGGAATGCTTAGATGGGTAATTTGGCTGGTGCAGCACAGCCACCAACCTGGCATCTTGGTGTCCATCATACACTAGGGGTTACATGCTGAAATGATGCTTGTAAGATTGGAATGGGTAGAGGCGGAGATCAAAGCTAGGAACAGTTCCAGGGTTTTTCAGCACAAGCTTTCGCTGTGGTAGGCCAGAGCAGTTCACTAGACCACCAACCATCCATCCTCTGTCTCTCTGTGTGGTGTTTCTAGAGAAGTAAAGAGTAAATGTGCATAGCTTTTGTCTACACTCAAAGTGTGAGGACGCCTTGACTGGTGTGCACATTGCTGCACGCAAGGACAGCATTGTGAAGTGGCCATCATAAAAGTTGGCCAGGGCCATAAGGCTATCACACAGGTGTAGACACACTACATCAAAACAGATGCAGAGACAAATTGACTACTCTATTAAACAAGAGAGCCAACTATAGGAGCAAGACAAATTGCAAACACATTGTCGAGTTCTCAGGGAAGTCTTAAAGAGGCACTAAACTACTTTCTGTGATAGCCTTTTTGTGGTCATAATTATATATATGGGCTCTAAGCATCCTACAAAACCAAATGTAACATCTATACGTGGCTGATTTCTCTCTTAAGACTGGTATCGAAGACCGATTACATCAGAACCATCGCAGAGACTTCAGGGTGCCGTTGGACGAGAAGAAGAATCGGTCGTGCATAAATGTGATGTTTTTTCTTTTTTTTAGGGTGCTTAGATTGAAATATAACCATAAATAGATTATCGCAGAAAGTGGTTTAGTGTTCCCTTTAAGAAGGTGCAGAGACGCCAGGAATTCCTTTGACGAGGTCATGCTTTCTCCCACATATCTTGTTTTCACTGGTCATGCTGGGAAGGAAAAGCTTCGGAAGGGGATTGGTGGCCGAGTGGGCTAGCGCACACCAGCTCGGAGCACATGGAGCGAAAGCTTGTGCTACAGAACCCAGGATCCTGGGTTCAATCCCCACCCCTGCCCGTTTCGATCTGGATGAGTGTCGTACCGGCGTGCGGTCGTGTATCACTACTGCGTGATGCATGTTAAGACTCCAAGCTAGTGGTTGTACTGCACTGGCTAAATTTCTTATCCACAGCTGGGAGACTCGTCGCCCATTGAGGCAGACCAAATTTTAGGCTGTATCAACATACACACAACCCAATTTTTTGGAAAAGCTTCAGCTCTCTTTTGCAAACACTTCTGAGGGCACTTTGTGTATCACCCTGAAAAAATACTTTTGATATTCGTGCTTTAAGTGGCCCAACAAAAACATTTAAGCTATGTTTTTCTTAACTACAAAACCCCTTTCATTTCCCTTTGAATATTGACAGGCAGTGACTAATGTGTGTGCATGTGATCACTGCATTTAATCACTACTGCACTGGCTGACTCACTCTTCTACAGTGGGGAGACAAAATTCATGCTTCATGTTTTAATGTAATAAACCTAAAAAAATTGTAATCTTTCTTTCTTCTTTTTTTTTTTAGGAATGCCTTACAATGTTTGGATCGACAGGCTCTGCAGTGTCGACGCGACTCTGCTATGCGGGTTACGGAAGCCCGCTCGTGCTTTTGTGAGTTTTTGCTTTGCTTTGCTCAACCCTTGCCAGATAAAAGCAGCACCTGACAACAAGATCTTCTAAACCATTTTGGAGTCGCTGGGACTACGAGCGGCAGAGTCATGAAGACACATTATTATCTGTCTGTGCCTAGGTAATGTGCCAATAAGTGCATAGCTGCGGTGCTAGTCCTGTATGAAGTAACCATTCTCAGGATGACCATCCTCACACCAGGACGTGATCATCCTGATTTTGCAACCCGATACAATAGCAGATGACACTTGTCCCGTAAGCTGAAATAATGGTAATGCTTCAAAGAGACGTCTAGTCGAAAACAGAAGTGGGGGATGGCTGCTTGGCAGGCGGGACATGCCTCCGTGCAGTGCTTCTCTCATGAAAGCTCTCATTCTTGCTGTGATGGCCTGGAATCATATCCTGCTTAGTTTGCCAATACTCTGTTAAATGTGAGTTATGGAAATGGTGCTATGGGAATCCTTCTATCTTTGCAGAGCAAAAATGGAACAAAGCCAAGTAGGCATGCATACATTTTGTTTGTGATACCTAGCTTACTTGCCTTTTGCAGTATTTGTTTCTGCACATCTTTAACTTCATCTCCTCTCTGAAGGGATGCAGTAGTGAATGTTGCAGCTTCATCTTATAGTTGAAACACATGGAGGAGGTATCATGGGCAATTCTGACCACGTTTTAATCCTATCAAATGCTTCCTTTCTCATCATTGGATTAAACATTCTATGAACTGTTGACACTAGTGGCATGCCAACAGCATTCTTTGTGCTTAAAAGGTGTAGCCACAGTCGTACTATAGTTTACAAAATCACCTCACCCCGAGGTGTGCACCTTGAACTACTCTTGAGGAAGCTCAGATAACTTAACTATTTTGAGGTATATATGAAAGATGACTGTTATTTTCTTCCTTTAACAGGAATAACTATGTAGCTTTAAACTACATTTTAGTTTGTGCCATTTTCTACACCTTATTCTTATAAAAGGCTACAGTAGGCTCATTAATTCAAACTTCAACTGGGGCCTGTAAATTTTTTTTTAGTTAAAAACACAATTGAAACGATAAGCTATTAGATAGGCGAGTAATGCAAGAAAATATTTATATTTACCGTGGAATACCGTGCATCCGCCCACACCACACTAAGCACCCATTCCCAAATTTGTAGGATCTGAGAAAATACACGCAGTACATTTATATGCAAAATTGATGACCGGAGAACGGCCCATCCCCCATTTTTTTGCGATTATCTCCAAAGTTTGAGTGGGCGTTTGTCCGGCATTTTACGGTAGGTAGGTAAATTTTTCGAGAACGGCACTGTATCTTGCTAATTATAGATTGTTTGCAGTGCCGCTAGTGTAGTTCACTGATTGGATAATGAGGCCAGCGCGCACTTCCAAGAACCCACCCAAAACTTGTGAACAGGTAGGAATTTGCTGAATTGGGTGTTGGAATAAAAAGATGTAAATATGCACCGAAAATAAAGCAGTCTGCCAAATAATCTGGATTTATTTGATTTTGCATTATGAAGCCTTCATGTTTAAATTATTAAGTGTCTACTTTAGTAGAAGTTGAATTGAGCTACTTCAAAAGCAGTGTCAACTTATGAACTTACTTTGCAGCTTCGATAAAAAAAAAAGTATAATATTTTTCAGACTACAGGTATAGTCCTCGCCCAGTGTGTAGCCTGCACGTGGTTCCTATTCCACACATTAAATGGGCACAGCCCGCACCTTGATAAATGCCCGCTTTATTAGCTCACAAAGAAGCTTGCATCATACAGAAATCATTATTAACACACTTTATCATTCGCAAAAAAATTCGTCATGACTCATCATAATGAACACTGTAGACAATACAAATCCTTGTGTAGTCCGCTGCGCATAAAATTTAAACTTTTACACATGTGTATATCAGATTACTACGCTTATCGTGGGTATGATTCCTTTCAGCCTCGAAGAAGCAGGGGTTGTGACCGACTGCGAAATTCGAACGCTCGAGTCTACGGGCGTCATTAGCTTCGATCTGTCCAGAGACAATGTCATTAACGTGGTCATCTTTCGTACGGAAATCCTCAAAGAAGTCTGGGCTGAACTAGACGCCTCGAGCGACGTCCTGGAAATACTCATCTCGCCTGATGAACCATACTTCAGGCTTACAACGTTTGGAAATGCGGGCACTGTGCAGGTAGGAAAAAAAGTCGTCTTTCTACAGTCTTGCCGTTTCATTGGATCCATCGGCTTTGAGCATGTCGTATGTTTATAAACCGACGGCAAAGTGACTGATGGGTTTTGGGAGGGTGGATAGAGACAGTTTGTCAGTTCCTTTATTGCTTGACGGTCTCGTCCCAATATAACATACGCGCCCGTTCCCCCAAAATTCAAAAGTTGTCCGTAATAACCAGAAAAAACGACGCACATATTTACCCAGTTTGTTCCCGAAATATTTGTCTATATAGCCTGGGTATTTATATTAACAGGGTCCATATTAACGAGACATTACTGTACCCTTAAGGTTACTTGACACACAGAACTGAAGTACAAATTGAAAGAGCAGCATGCTCACTGTGATGCTTCCAAAATATGTCTGACTTTGCAGAGACCCTAGGCAGCTGTATTGTTCATAAATTCTTAGCCCGACGCTAAAATAATATACCTCAGCATAACTTGGCACATGCTTTGCGAGCTAGCAAAATATGCTTCAAACGCTTGTGCACCGAAGACGGCGACGGCGAAGGGCTCTTTATCAGCGCGTTGTACACCACCATCAACATATAACCTTTTAGGCCACTGATACAACATAGAGGCATATGTAATGATACCAGAATTTAAACATCAAGTCCTTTAATATTTTGGTTTAGTTCCATAGGCTTCCCACAAAAGGCCCCAAAGGCCTTTTGTGAAAAGAGAGAGAGGAGGCATTGCAGTTACTCGCCTGCATATCCTGTGTCGCCTGCTGCCTCGGTGGCTCCGAGGCAAACTGCCGACCTATGGTCAGCAGGTTCAAATTGGGGTCGAGATGCCTGGAATCCAACGGAGACTTATTGTGGAGAAGGCGTCACGAAAAAATCCCCGTTCGGCCAACAACATTCTCGTTCCTCTGTTAGGGTGTGCCAGATGCCCTTTGTTGGTTTTGCCCGTAAACCCCCCAATTTTTCATTCTCCTCCGTCGCCTCCATCATCTGCTACAGCCGGTCCTATACAGGCTGTTTCCAGCATTCCATTCGGCATCACGGACGGTGCTGCACGCTTTGCAAAAAGTCCCTGAAGGTTGTTACCGGGATTTAACAACTTGTAGAAAATGTCTGGGAAGAAGGTTCGCATTATGTAAAATGAGAGCCATTACCATTTGCTCTAAAATAGGTTGACTTATGGGAATGTAGTCCAGGCATCCACCTTTCTGCAGAAACCAGGGATGGGCAGTACTTCAAATACAAGTATTTGAAATACGTATTTCAAATACTTTGTGTATTTTGCATTTGTATTTAATTATAAATTGGGTAATGTAATTGACGTGTGTATTTAAATACTAAAACGTGGGTATTTTAAATTCCATTGTAATTAAATACAATTTTGTGGGCAAAAATACATTCCTCAAATTTATTGTCACTGTCCAGAGCAGGAAGAAAACTATGTTCTGCGTCGAATGCAATGAAAACTACGTTCTGCGTCAATCAAGCACAGGCGTTAAGTGACTTTGTGATTACGTTGCTAGTCCAGGGCAAGAATAGTGACGAAATCGACGTTCACAGGCAGACTGGCTAAATAAGTGCCTGTAACAACTTGTGATGCTTTCCAGCCTTATTTCCATCTATATTTTTGCCTGAAACATCCTATGCGCAGGTAAAAAAATAAAAAATAAAAAAAAAAACAATAAAAAATTATCTAGCTAGTGCGCGCGTCTTGGTCGTCTCGGTTCTTCGTTGGTCTATACCAAAATGTAATCGACAAGAGCAGCTGCTTGAAGCTCTGTACTTTTTTCACCTATTACGTCCAAGCTGATTACATTTTTTTGTGATTATATCTCTATTACGTTACTAGAGCCTCGCACACTAACTCCCGAGTCTGCGATGCAAAATTAAAATGAGATACCCAGAAACCTGTTGCAGGTGCCCTGAAGCCGCTGAAGCAAATTTTGAGGAATGTATTTGGAAAAGTATTTGGAGGAGACCAAATGCATTTGGTTGTATTTGTATCTTGTACTTAAATGCTTTTTTGGAAATGTATTTAGATTTGTAATTAAATACATTTTTGACGAAGTATTTTGTATTTGTATTTCGATACATATTTGCATGTATTTTGCCCATCCCTGGCAGAAACGTATGTAGGCCGAAACAGGAATTGTGAAAGGAATTTGGGAAATAACGAAACAGAGAAAACATGTGCGCTCAAAAGTGTGATCTTAGCCATTTGCCCTGGGACACTGATCATGGCATTTACATGCTCAGACCCTGGGCACAGATTCCAAGTGCTGGTTTATTTCCACGCTACTAAGCGTGATTTTTCAGAACATGCCTGCTCACAGCAACAGTGGGTTATCAATCAGGAAATGCAGGAGATTAAGAGGGGCAGTTATGCGTTACATAGTAGCACAAGCTGGCAATTTTTTTTATTGAAGTAAAAACAACGGCAGAAAAGACGGAAGACTTGTAGAAGGAGTACACACACACTCTTGCGCTGTTTTTCCCACTTCCATATACCAAGCAAACTAGCCCAACTTCATGCTTTGTTATTTTTTTATGCAAAAATGAAAGTATCCAAAGCCAGAGTCTGTATAGAAAAAAACCAGTCCCCTCTAACCTTATTTTTCTGGTGGCTTCATACTTTCCAGGTGGACTACTCAAAAGGCTCTGAAATGATGGAGACATTCCAGTGCAAGAAGCAGCAGAAAAACTCGTAAGTGTTTGAGACTTTGCCAAGATCTGTTTCCGGCAGCAAATTCGCAGTCAGCACCCAACACTTTTGGTGTATGTATGCTCATTGTTCGAAAGTTTTAAAAGCAGCAAAAATTACTAGGACAGAGACGAGAAGTTACACAGCAGAGGGTTCCTTATGTTGTGCAGTCTCTTATCTCTGCAAAGTTTTCGGCACTCTTCAGACTTGAGTGGCGAATCAGCTTGTCCAAATATCGGAATCACATTCTTGCAGTATACTGTATTTATTAAAACATTAAGCAATACATTCTTCGGAGTTGCACCCAAAACATGCATCAGCTCACCTGCATTGTTGCTTTTATTTATTTCGAAATTTCTATATGGTTTTTAAGTGAATGGGACATATAGTAAACATGCCCATGGCAGTGACATACAAAAAAAAAGGTGCACTTCTAGTTAAACTTATATATGGTTCCAAGAAGTATAATACAGCACTTCCTGAGTTCTGTAGCAGTCGGGCATTGCCGAGCCGACTCTTTAAAAGGGCTTGTTCTATGAAATGAAGAAGGGACAATTAAAATGATATAGGTACTATAGGATCAGTAGTGTTGACTGTATTATACCCGAGCTTTCATGGGGTTTTTTGGGGTGGATGTTCCTTCAAATTGCTTAATTTGGCAAGTCAAATTTCAAGCCAGACTTCTGAAAAAATTTTCATAATGATTTTACAGCGGAGCTGTTAAGGGCTAGTTTTTTGAGTATTATTGTGTCCGCTGCCAAACAAATGTCGACACAAAACTCCAGACAGCTACCGCTGTCGCTCATAGATGGCGGCAAACTTTCCAGCCTTTCCACTCTGATTTTCGCCAAAGTGGAAAGGCTGAATTTCTCTAGGCGTCGTCCTAGAAGTCGTCCTCAAGGTCGTCCTAGATGTTTTCCTCGAGGTCGTCCTAGAAGTTGTAACTAAGGTTATCCTAGACGTCGTCCTTGAGGTTGTCCTTGACAACGTCCCTGAGGTCATCCTAGGCGTTGTCCTCTAGGCATTGTCCTCGAGGCTGTCCTAGAAGTTGTCCTTGAGGTCGTCCTAAACGTTGTCCTAGACACCGTCCTCTAGGCGAACCGTTCTTGAGGTCAACCAAGAAGTCTTCCTTGAGGTCGTCCTAGACGTCATCCTCTAGGCATCTTCCTAGACGTCGTAAAGATAACAGCTTCGCTGGCCCTCCATCTTCACGTGAAGTGGAAGGGCTCTACATTTTTATTTTACATTGATTTTTGGGTCTTGGAACACAGATCAAGTTTGGAACTCGTTTGACGACTTTTCTGTCTTTGAACACAGATATGTCAGTTGCCTACCAGGCACAGGTACTACTTTGAAACATTTCACAGTTTCAGTCAAGAATACTTGCAGGCGCACATTTTAGTTGAAGCTCAAAACATTTCTAATATAATTATTTAATATCAAATTCCTCTTTTTTACATACAGTTACAAGCTGCCACTGATTAAGCAGTGTTCCAAGGCACTCAACCTGTCAAGCAAGGTGGCTATGCGGACAGACCAGTTGGGACTCATCTGCTTTCAATTCCTCATCAGGACTGAGGATGGCACTGCCACATTTGTGGAGTACTATGTTAGTGTCTTTGCCCATTTTACATTTTTGGCTGTGGTGTGCCTATACCACAGCCTCACTTCTAGAGTATGATATCTGCTAGAATCACCACATTGGGTAACCTATCAATACCCATTTTCACCTCAAGAAAAAAAGGAAGTTTTGCGCATTGTTCATACGCGGCACGAAGCAGTTCTTACGAGATTTGGTTGTCAGAAGAAAGAGCCATGCTTTTGGCATCTGGAATGTGTACGTTTTGACAAGATAATATAAGTATAATCTAAAATTCAGCTACATATATCTTAATTATTCGCATAAAAGGGTAAATTAGTAATGCTCCACGAGGAGCCAGACTTGTTTTACAAGTCTGGCTCCTCGTGCACCTTTTTCAGGTGAAAACAGGTAAAGTGGCTCATGTCTCCAAGCTGTTGTTGGACAGCTGCATAGCTTATTCTCAAAAGTTCAAGCCCACGCAGCAGGTAGCCAAGCATTCCGAATTTAATACAGTACATTTTTATGAAATTTTTGACCAGATGAGCTGCATCTTGTTAAATTTTAATGTTTGTGTCTGTATGAATAAGGTAATTCTTACAGCTGTTCTTAAATGCGTTTTTTCATACAAGATTCTGCAGTTTTGCTTTGCTTTTGATGGGAAGCGATAATGTAGTCGTGTTGAGATTTCATTTTCCTTTTATTCTCTAACGTTCTATTTCGTGCTTTCAGTGTGCTCCAAACCTCGATGACTGAGATGTCATGCTGACCGACATTTATGGTGTGCTTCTCTTCAGAAGGACGTTTGAATGCTCCTATAGACTGAGAAACTGAAAGAAAGGAGGAGACGAAAGTACGCGGGGATGTTAGAATGCCGAGCTCTGGTTGGCATGATTAGTGGGTAGACGTAAACCTAGCTGCCTTTGTCTCCACTGCACTTGTTGAACGCGTTGGGATGCGGAACATCGGCGTCTGGTGTTTGGCTCTGGCATTCGAATACGTTTGACGAGAGCAGCAGAGACAAGGGTAGCTGGCTTTATGTCTACCACAAATCATTCGAACCAGAGCTCAGCGTTCTGACTTCCCCGCGCGCTCTCGTCTCCTCCTCTCCCTTAGTTTCTCGGCGCATAAACTACGGCGCACGACAAAACTGTACATTTAATAAAAGCACATTTTTAGGCACATTTTAGAAACATGGTCTTGCCTTGTGTGTGCTTTTGAGCATTACTAGAACTCACCGGCTATTCTAACCTTACCCACAATAAATCCGTGCTAAATGTTTCATTAATGGGTGGCATCAAAGGGGGGGAATTATACCCTTCACCGATCTCCCCATGTACCCCCCCCTCTCCCCCCTTTCCCCGTTGCCCCTCTTCATTAAATAGCTCAATGTCCCTGGGCAGCCTAAAAAAGTGCACATCAATGGGTTTGGGTGTGTTTTTTGTAAGTTTTTCAGAATCGTATTTTCACACTCAAAATGGCAGTAATTTAGGTGCAAATAGAGTAATGTGTTGTCCATAAGAAGTTTGACTACTGTAGGTAAAGTGTGACGATGAATATACCGAAGAAATGCTCACAGTGCAGGCGAGCTAATTTGCATTGAACATGATGGTAACCCTGAGAGTGAGACCTCTTTTGCTGTTTTTACTATGTTCTCCCCGTCTCGGGGTTTCTATGCTCGATAGTTTCGATGCATCATAGTTTGTATGGTTGTCCAAAGTCATCTATTCTGTGAAGAACAGTCCAACTATATTTGGAAGACGTTGACCTATTCTTAAATTGCATAACTTGATATCTTTATCAATGTACAGTGTGTCAAATTTCAAATTTGACACGCTGTACAATTTTTTTTTAAATTTCCCGGGGCCGTGCTGGCCCCGGAAATTTGAAAAAAAAAAAAAAGGGGGCTAGTTGGTTTCAGTTCAAAACAGCTCAGACCTAAAAGAGGAAAAAAACTCGTAGGAGCCTCTGGGTCCTGGCTCTGAGTGTTGTCGCCTCCCCCCCCCCCCCCCCCCCCCCCCCCCCCCCCCCCCAACTCCCTAAACGGGGCCCCTTTTTTTTTTGTTTTTTCCTGGTAAAAAGAGGGATGCCATAAAGTTCCCTTCTCTAGACGAGCTGATGTTTGTGAGCTCATTGTAAAAGACTGTGCTAAAGCAACAGAATGTATGCATTGCCTCCCTCCCTCCTTGTTGGAGGGAGCAAAGCTGTCGACGCCGGCGGTCTCGTTCAGGTCTCTTCTAATTGAAGCCGGACTGAAGGACAGTCAGAGAGTTCTCTATTGTACTGGTGCCCCCTCGACACGTTTTACAGACAATGGTGCGTTGGAAGGCAAGCAAGTGTTGCCAAAGGCTACACGAGCAACATACATGCTACACATTATGTTTTGTTCATTTTGGTCTCTAGCGTAGTTCCTCGTGGAAAGTTTTCTCCGAAACGACAAGTTTAAAACACGCAAAAATAAATATCTGAGAACCTCTCGAAGCCATCCTTCAGGTGTTTCAAGGAGCCGGCTCTTGTCTAAACTACTTCTTTTATTTTTGAAATGCAGAAGTGTGTTAGTTTCGAACACAAGGGCTGCATTTATTAGAAAAGTGTGGACGAAGCGGTTTGAGCACTGAATACTTTAACCACCAAGATTACTTCATTGTCTGTGTCGCTTTACTGTTCAAGTCAGTAATTAATTAAAGAAAGGCTAGTTAGACAACCTCCAATCACTGAAATCAAAACAGTATACTCTCGGGACAGTTTTCTAGTTGCGACTCTGGGGCATGTCTGAAGGGGCAGCAAAACTTTTTTTTTTTTTTTCCTTCTTGTAATGGGAATCTTGCAGGTATTCTTTCGGTTGCTAAAGCAATTTATGCCCAAGGAATTATGCCACTCGACATCGAGGAGGTCATTTGTGCCATCTCTCTAACTCAACATCATGATTAATTTATGCAAGCTGGCAGAGACACGTACTGTGTAAATAGGTTGTAGACCTGGTCAAACAAGTTCATAGAAACGCGGAGTCATCGTTTTTAATTTTTGAACGAAAGTTTACGTGGCCCTGCTCAATGTGCGCGACACCTCTTAACATTTTCCCCAATCGTTCATTGCTTTGCGTTTTGTACACCTTAGTGATCGATTGCCTATTTCCAAAACAGCCTCTTATTCACAGTCGCATCTGCTTCAGTTCCACCCAGGGAAACCCAAATTTTCTAATCATCGAAACTACCGATAAAGAAACCATCTAAGATGTATCACGGAATGAACAATATTGGTATATCATAAGGTGGTGAAATATACATATTGCCGTCATTCTCATTTAAAATTTACTCAATTCACCGCTGCATTCTGGTGAAAACTAAAATTCCAACAGTAGATTTTTTTTTCTTTTTTCTGTTTAACGTTTTTCAGACAGTTTGCTTTTATCTGCCGGCATTTAATAACGCCCCATTTTTTGGTGTATATTATTATTTAAAGGATGCACTTCACCGGTCTTGTACTTTATATCCACCTTTCATTGTGAACTCGAGAAAATGTTTATCGTGCATCTACATGGCCTTTTCCCATCTGCTCGACATTTCCTTAGCCTCTTTTTTATGTTCTCACGACCCTAGTTGCACGATGTATACATAAGCCGCACGACCATCTGTTGCAACAACACGGGGTTCGCGGCCCACACATGCTTGCCGTTTGCGTTTACGTTTCTTCTGGTCTACGCGGGTTTACGTCACATTTGAACTGTCTTTGGTTTGAAAAGTGAAGATCTCCATAATCTCCACTAGTGGCTTGAAGATAACGCTCTTACTCGCGGCTGACTGGACGCTGACATTTTAAGCTGCGTTTTTTACGCTCAACAAAAGTAGGCCTGTGCACAGGGCACCTTTCAACGTCGGCAGCTACCACAGGCCTAAGGTATGGGCCAATGGCCTTTCTGTGGTGTCGCAGCCCTTCAGGTTGAATAAGGATTATTCTTATTCTTTGTTCTACGATTACCGAACCGACTGGCTAAAACGAAACCAACAAAACGGCGCGCCGGCCGAAACGCGCAGACGCACGCTCTCGCAATCATCATCATCAATCCACCGTTACAAATTAACTACTGCTACGATTCACACCGGTGTGCCTTCTGCTCTCGCCGACTTTGCCTCAATTTAAAGTTACCCGTCACTCCAGGTAATATTTTCGTCGAACCTACAGCGAAAACCGTCTCAGTTACACTGCCTGTTATCACTTCGTCGATCTTCATTCTCCCTTTAACGCCGCAGCTCTCTTTCTGACCACCGTTGTCGCACGCGGTGTGCAGTGGCGGCCAACGCACTCCGTTGGAGATAAAATTGCGAGTTCCGAACTTTCGATAACACGCTATCGCTCCTTTACTGCGGTTGCCCTGGGCGACAGCTGTCCGTGCAGCTGCCTCACCGATCACGCTAGTTTGGAGCCGACGTGGGGAGGTTTTCGACACAAGCAGCAATGGTGCAGAAAGTGGACAAGCACTCGCTTCACCGCCCGAGCTTGGAAGAAGTTGCCAAAGGTAAGCAAGACCTGCCGAGATTGCGTGAGGTACTCTGTGCGTGCCGCGTGAAACATGGAACCAAGGAAAAAGTATTTTGTAACGAGTTAATGGTCAATCTATTAGTGACAGCGAGGGCTTGTTTCCTCGGGCACCGTTTTGTACGGCAAGGTTATGGAGGCAACTGGCGCTCTGACCTCTAATAATGAGCTAAACGCGTTTCGAAGTCGACGTGTTCTAGTTAGCAGCTTTGGGATAATTAACCCGGTTTCGATAGCGCCTCGGTAACACTCGGGCTGTGCGACATTACTTCGTCACTTGCCAGTGAGCGAGGAAAATATAGCAACAGCGTAGCCAACGCTAAAAGAAGCCACGTAACGACTGGGCTGCATAATGTTAAAAAAATGCGTCAGCTTGACATATTACCTTCAAAGGGGAAACGAAACATCTGTACTACACTGATCACTCCGAGTGAAAAACAAAATGCCGCTTTAATAATGTAGCCACGAAAGAAAAATAAGAAAAAAGTGGTGCATATATGTGAGGGCTTTGTGCAGTATAATACTGTATGTAATACTTTTTTTCTTACGTGTTGAAATAAAATATGCGATGATCATTATCAGTCAGCGATCGGCTGGTAAGTAGAGTTGTCTCGTGTAAAGATGTCAAGCTGATATCACAATAAGCAGACCAAACTTCCTTCTGAAATTGAGTGACACTTTTTTAGGGAGAAGAATTTCAGAGAACTCACGGAGCCAGACAAAATGAAGCTGTGGTGCAGGCTTGTCTAGGCTAAACAATGTGGCACATTGTAACAACTGATTGAGGGATATCAGATGTGCACATTTCCTCTTATGTTCTCTTTTCTTTGGAGATGCTACCAAAAATCCCTAGCGAGCACCCACTCAAAATTTGGAGATAATCATGTGAAACTGGGGGATGGGTGCTTCTTGGTCAACAATATGTAAAAATTGATCCTTTGTGTATTTTCAGAATGTTATAAAATTGAGGGGTGGGCGCTTATTGTAGAGTTGGCGGATGCTCAGTATATTATGGTAGTAATTTTCATTGGATGTACCGTATTTCAATTAAGCATAACGATGAAACCAAATGACTTCAAAACTGGCTTGGAACCATATACAACTGCAGAATTTTTGGCAAAAAATTAGCACCAATAAGGTCCCTCCCAACCTTCCCATAACTTAACACTAAAGATGCACAGCGCTAGCTATTCGCGTCTCCAGCTCGACGCTCGTCCTCCCGCGGCGGAAACGGGAAGCGCTCTAGTGAGGGTCCCCCGATTCTCCTGCTCAGCGGGCATGGCGGAACTGCTCATGATCATGGCTCGCGAATTGTCCTTTCTGAATGCAAACAATACTCTTCACTGTCCCAACGTAGTGCTGCAGCCGGTATGGGATTGTACTTTACTGGAGAGTTTTAGTATTGCGCATAGAAGCAAACGCAAGCGGTGTGCGTTTGCGTTAGAGTTGCAAGCCCCACGTTGTGCGTGCGCCTCATCACCATGCGCCATCCAAGACCGCAATTTCGGGCACCGCGCACGTGCAATGTGGAACGCACCAAGCTAACACGAACACACAGGGCTTGAGTTCGCTCGTATACGCAATATTAAAACTCACTACTGTTTCACCGGCTTCCAACGCCAACGAAACGTGTTGCAGTGAGCAGACGTGCAAGCAGGTAGGCGTTCCTTCGAACTCTAAAGGCTGAGATTGGCAAAACGACGGCGAGCAAATACAAAAGTAAATAAATGTTATGAAAAAACTAGTAATTAAAAAAAAGCTTTTTTTAACTTTTGGGCATTTGGTCTGGAAGTATATTGGCGGCGACTTTGGACGTTTCGCCGATCGTCAAAAGTCGCGACTTTGATAGCACAATATACTTTACCCACAATTAATGTAATTTTACATGGATTTCTCACATTAGCTAGAATGTTGTCATTGATTTTAGACTATTTTTATTTTATTTGTAATTAAAATGGAGTATTTGGAACCAGTGATGATAATTAGCACAGTTTTCATTGTCATATTTCTTCGCACGTTTAAAATTAGATCATAAGCAACAAATTATATTAGAGCTTGAAAAATTACTTATTCAAATATTCAGTTTTTCTGTTGTACGGTCGTGTCCCACGAATATGAACTTTGTTAATGTGGACGTCTCGCTATACAAACAAAATTTTCGGAGGCGAACTTCGCACATACATAAATTTTTGTCTCATTATTATGGAGGCCCACATTACGAATAATTTTTCGGGGGAACGTAGGTGTTCATATTAACAATACTGTACCTTTATTCTCCAAGATCATTTGGGGATCAAAAGGTTTTTGATAATACCAACGTCAGTGCTAGGGACATTATACTGTGTGTCAATGGTTGTCCGCATTGTGCGGTCTTGATTGCAACTTGGCAACTTGCTGCAGTTGTGTAACATGCGCATTCTCTTCAACATTCAGCATTGAGCGATGGTCTGCGGAGCAACTTCGAGCATGTCCAGGTTGATGTCGTTGACTGTCCCGACCTACGGCAGAAGCCTTTCATGCTGGCATCAGAAGGTAATTGTGCGGCATTGTATGCAGCATTGTATGGGACGAAGCCAGGCCCGTTGGCAAGAGGAGCCCCAGGCCCCCCCCCCCCCCCCCACCACCACCACCACCACCACCACCACCACCACCACCACCACCAAAAAAAAAATTGGTGTGTGTGGGCGGGGGGGGGGGGGGGGGGGGAGGGGAGAGAGGGAGAGGGAGAGGAGAGGGAAAGAAGAAGGAGGGAAAGGGGGAAGCACCAAGTTAGCTTTGCGGATGTCAAGCAAGAACGCTCTCTTTTTCTTTCTTGCTTTTTACAAACACGTCTGTTCAAGCTATGTACATGCACACAATGGCCCATCAGTTTCAGTCCATAGCCTCCAAATTTGACACAGACGCAGTTTTCACATGCAAATCAAGGCTGGGAGACCTGTGCAAGTCGGTAAACACAAAGGGACTCACTCCACCCCGCTGCACCAAGAAACATGCTAACAGGCTCACCACAGCAAGACTGAGCAGATCTTTCCACGCCAATGTCCTGCAGTGCTGAATACATTGGCCAAATGGCTCGCTGCATAAAAAACTGGCTTTGAGAGTATCACAAAGAAGTAAAGGACGCTGCACCCAACAGTCGGCACCCGATGGACACGCAAAGACAGGAATGTCGTAGCTGCGCTTCCGACGTTGTCGCCGCGACGATGCTGATAAATCTGTGACCACGTCAAGAGCAAAATGATGAATGGTGACGAGCCCGTAAATCATAGGCTCATCATTGCTTTTGTTCAGAAAAACCTTGGTGCCCCCGCAGCTTGATTAATGCCCTTTTATCCATAAATACCTCCCCCCCCCCCCCTCTGCCCTCACGTGGCATTAGCAAATGACCCCCCCCCCCCCCCCTTGAAAAATATTCCTGGCTACGAACCTGGATGGAGCATTGTTAGCGGTCTTCTCACTGCCAAATAGACTAATGCCGTGTGTGCCAATGATCTGTCATTGAAGCATTAGAAGTGCAGTATTAAAAAAATACAAATGCAGTATCTTAACCTGAAAATTTTGCAAGGTGACAGTTTTATGGTTTGATTTTCTTTAACTTTTTTCCTGGCAATCAGTGTGGAACTTCTACAGTCGGTGAATCCTACAGTCGGCTGTAAAAATGTTGGAGTACATTTTCATCAAATTCAAGTTCAGCGCACGCGGTTTACATCCTCGCCTGGGTCCTTTCTCAGACAGGATGTCACAAACAGTCATTGTAGCATGCATGTAATATTAGTAGCCATCTTAATGGATGTCAAAAATTCACATTTTGGGTCATGTTGAGTCATGAGGGTAACATGTTACTAGTGGAAAGTGAATAGGTACTTACAAGTCAATTGCCAGTTGTTATTTGAGATCTCTATTAGGCTTCTCATATGGCTTTCGGGTGTGCACTACTACATCTCTTTTCGCGTCAGTTGTTCTAGAATGAAAAGCAAAGAGCCATGTGTTGCCTCTCTTTGTGAAGCCACTGACAAACTGTATATTAAGTCTTTGCAACACTTACTTTTTAATACCATTGCATTTTGAGGGCTGCCAAATCGTGAGATTGCATGCCTCCGTCCGTTTTGGCTCGATAACTAAATTTAGCGGGTAAATTTGAAATACTGTATACTGATACACCAATTCAATTTCTCCGCTAAGTTTAGTGGAAAATGTTTCCCTGACAAGTTTATGAGGAAACCCTGAATTGTTGTATAACTATGCACCAGTCCAATTTGGGGAGAATGGACACAGAATTGGCACCTTGCTGAGGCAGGACAAGATCACCAAGCTTGATGGATGCCTGACGAGGTGCAGAGGATCCTAAATGCTATCATATTACATCTCTGGCAAAATCGCAAAGGCCAGGGAGAGGGCGTAGTTCTTTTAGGCATAGCCAGTGCTGATCACTAAACATAAGTTTTACCAATCTGCAAGTACATACTGCAGTACTCTTACTTCCAGGGATATGCGGCCAGCCACGACTTACAGACATTGGCGGTGTTCCCTACCTGGTTCCCATTGCGCAGACCGATAAGGTGCGTGTAGACCTGCCCTTGTCTAGGACCTTTCTTCAAAGGATTGGACCGTGCGAAAGAGAGCGTGGCTTTTTCAGATCTACGACCTCGAGAAGGTGATGAAGCAGACCGACGTGCCAGACGGATTTGCCATCGGAGCCGGGGCCGGGCCGTACCACACTGTGGGCATCAATTGCGAGGCATGTGCTAGTTGATTTTCTTGGTGTTTTATTTGATCTAGACCATTTTACCATTAGGTTGCCGGCTTTTCGCTGTTTACCCGAAAGCCGAGAAACGTGGCATAGAAAATCCAGAATCGGCTAAAGGCCGTCCTTCAGCATCTCTTTTTCAGTGTGACAACATCTTTCCCTTTCTCTGTTTGTGCAAGTGAATAGGAGAGGGCAGAGTTACCTTTTGTATGACCTTTGGGAGGCATGATCAACCCGCAGTAAGCGCGAGAGCAATGTTTTGAGGGTATTCAGTGGAGAGTCCCGATTTGGCTTTGCTGCTTATGTTGGGAACGCGTGATAGTAGAAGCTAAAAGTGCAGGTTCACCTCTAAGACTAAACGGACTGATTTTGATGCCTACTAATTGACAAACTAAGTGTCCCCTAGAAAAATTTTGTGTTTTTTTTTTTTTTTACTACAAAAATAAACTATGCTTCTCCTAACGCTCATTCTCTGCCCAAATGTAGCGCTAGTGGTCCAAACCAGATGCCAAAGTTTCAGAACGAAGTGTTGTCTTATTCAAAAGTTCTAAGGGATTTTCTACAAATTTCAGTGGGAAAATGGCGGCCGATGGTGCTTTCGAATACATCGAGCGGAATGGCACCAGTTATTGAAAGCGGGTCCCATTTACCGATTGAAAGTTTCAGAAAATCACTTCTAACTTTTTACCGGGATAACAGTTAGTTCTGAAGCTGAAGAAGAATGAGCATTCTGCAATGCATGGTTTATTTTTGCAAAGGATAAAACACTATACATTTTTGGGGGGACACGCTGTACCTTTAGAGGCTTGATGCACATTGGGTTTCAACTAAAAATCTGTCGAGTAATTAATTTAAAGGGGACACTGGCTAGAGATTTAACTTCTGGACTACTCTAGTGATTGAAGCGGAATTTGTGGGGAAGATTTAACATCGGATGTTGGTGTATTTTTTACAACTTCACCTCTCTAGGACAATTTACCTACATAAGATGTGTCACTCTTCGTTAAGAAATCTATGATATGTAAATGAAGCTATTAAGCACCATTTTGACAGTTTGAGTATGAAGTGGGGGATATGGGACTTTGGACTAGCTAGTTTTTATGACTCAATTGTAAATATTTCAGAAGGAGTTATCTAAAAAAATTAGATGCATATCTGTCCTATACCAATTTGTGAAAACAGTTTTTTCTTAATTAAGACTTTGACTTAAAACAAGATAAACTAGGTAGCCTTATTCCCAAGTAAATTTCAGTTCAGAAGCACCTTGATTTTGGTATCCGAATACTTTTGCCTTAGAACTAAAGATTCCTTCGTATGAAATTCGCAGCTAAAAGTGGAACTGAGAAAAATGCATTGAAACGTTGATCTCCTTTCCTTTGTTACTACCTCACAATGTGTTGAAGATATTTTATATCAACGTAACTATTTGGCGTATGGTTATCAAATTTAGTTGTAGGGTGTAGTAGAATTAATTCCTAAAGCCAAAAACCTCAAATTTGAAAACTGAACCTTCTCAAAAATATTGCAAATTTAGGCCCGTGTCCCCCCTAAGCTTATGTAGAGGTACAATTTTTGTTGGTCTTCATTTATGCATTATCTCAAGCATATATTTTGCACCGATTGCCACTTGTCATGGTGGCAATCGGTGCAAAATAGTGGGAGCTCCTGCGACTCCATGTTTGCCAGTCAGGAACATGGCAACTGCCCGAGCTCCTACAAGCGTCATGCTACCATAATTCATATTACTATCACGGCGAAAAAGCGTGGGGAAAAGTTTATCAACCTTCTTGTTACCACCCGGAAAGCTCATGAGATTAAAAAAACATTTGGCTGACGATATGGAAGTGTGGCATTGCTGACATCCGGAAAGCCTGAAACTTTGAAACTTATTTCTATTTCGTTATTTCTATGAATAGTTATTTATGTGTTTTGATTTAGGAATACTATTCACTTCTTATGAGGGAGGAGCAGTGTGGGGTATAAACTCATAAGAATATGCAAAGGTTAGTATCAAACACTACAACTAAACAGTCCTAAAACAATGTTTCACGTCTCTGTTGGGGATACAGTAGGAGTCGGGCAGCAAAACATTCTATAATTTTTTCTTTTTACTTGTGGAGCGATATATTTATACCGGGAAAACCGTGAGACAAGGGAAAAACGATTGCCATTTTGAGAGGCAAGACAGGATCCAGAACGGAAACACTTGTCATATATTTTTTTATCAGCAGGAAAAATGCACACTGTATCAGTGCACCTTCGTGAAATTTACCTTTGTATTTTTTCATACCAAAGTACAGGCAAACCTTTTTTTTATGTTTGACATCGGTTTCTTGCGCCATACATTAGATTACTTCCTTGATCGTGATTATTGACACGACTGTGTGGCAGACACACAGTGCACGAAATTCAGAATTGAGGCTCTCGGGTGTCAACCATTAAGGCCACTCATCTTTTTATCTGTGATGCTCTACAGCCTAATTCCGGGAAATTTATAGCAACAGCTCAGTGAGTTGCTAGTGTTTTTTATAAAAGCCATAAAAATCCGAAATGCCATGCAGCCTGCACCTTCCGTCCTTTTAACGTTTCTGTCAAAATAAATGCCACAATGGCGTACAACTTTTTTTTTTTTTTTTTTTAATTTTAATTTTTGTGTTTAGAGAATAGGCTAATGATGTTTTTTTGCTAACATTTTGGAGTACATATTTTTACTATAGCTATATCTTCCCTGGAACTTTCAATGCTCCAGTTTCAAAGAGTGATTTATTTAATTAAAAAATAGATTTCAGATTAAAAGGACTTTAATGTTGTGCTAGGCGAGTTATTTGAAGTAAAATTATACTGTTAGCGGGTTTTAAAGGAACAGTTGCCTCAGGGTTGGAAGTTTGGTTTCCACAGCCAATGACTTGGTAGAACAAAACCCACAGAAATCATTTTATTTCTAGTTTGTCTTTTACATGGTCCAGATTCCTTTATTAGAACCCAAAGCCTGCTTAGGACACACTGAATAATCCTCTTTAATGGTTGGGGCTGACAGCATACAAGCCTAAATAGTCGTAAAAACAACATAATTCTTTTTGTTTTACATAAAAAAGCTTTTGGCAATCTACAGCATCAGTGATGTTTCTATACGTGATTAATGCTTTCTGCCACTTCAGACTTTTCTATTTGTAAAAGTTTCCAGCTTATACTTGCTACAGCCTTGCCACTGCTGGCATGGCTGTAGCGGGGCCACTATCTCACCTGTTTATGTCTCTCCTGAAGAAAATAAAAGATAACACAGCTGGGTTGTTCCATGCTAAAGGAGACTCGGCAATTTTTAGAGCGGAGCTCTTAAGTGCCCGTTTCTGCGTATAGCAACGTCGCCGTCGGCGTAACCGCGCACGTCGCATTATGGGACATCACAGTTTCCCCGATAAATTTAGCGGGGAAACTGAATAGGTGTTGAGGTCATGTGACGACAGTTTTACCGCTAAGTTTAGCGGGGAAACTGAATGCGCAGTGTTGCATTAAGGGACTTCTCAGACCTACACACCCATTCAGTTTTCCCGCTAAATTTAGCGAGAAATCGAATTGGTGTTGAGGTCATGTGACATCAATTTTCCTGCTAAATCTAGCAGAGAAACTGAATTTGTTCATAGGTGACGTGACACGAAGTTGTGCGACGTCATTCTCCCTGCTAAATTTAGCGGGAAATTGAATTGGTGTTGAGGTCATGTGATGTCAATTTTCCAGCTAAATTTAGCCGGGAAGCTGTGGGAGGAGAGTAGGGTATGGTGGAGGAGGGTACGAGCGAGGAAGAAGAGGAGGGTGCAAAACCAGTACGTGGAGAGTAATGAGAGTGATCCATATCTGTATACACCGTATTTTCTGGACTATAAGTCTCACATCCGTATATTGAGTCGTTTTTGCAGAAAAGTTTGTATATAAGTTGCGTTGCACCTTTGTATAAATCGCACCTCTTTGCACGGTTCACACAATGAGTTTTTTTCGTTTTATGCGCATTGGTATCGCGAAATCTGAGCTTAGCACAAACGGCTGGATCGCACGCACCATTTGACGCGCAACTTTGACATTCTGCCTTGCGAGAAATGCCCAGGCCACACCGCTGTCTGGCAAGGGCAGTCAAATGTTTCACAGCAAAAGGACGTAAAACTCGCAAAATAAGAAGGCAGTCAGCTTTATTCGAGCGTACACGTGCTGAGCGAACGAAAGTTTAATGTGCCAGACACTTGTGAACCAGGCTTTGGACAACTAGGCCTGGCCTTGGTCAAGTTGACTAAAAAAAAATAAAGAAATCGTCGAGTCTTCTTTTTCTTCTTGGAGCTCCTCTTTGGACTCAAAATGCTGTCTTTCAATATTTGTATTTTAATGTAAGATAGTGCATGCTATTAAGTAATTAGGCACCCACCTAAATTTGTTTGGAAAGGAACTGTTTTTTTTTCAGTGTTTTTCCTAACTACATAGGTCTTATGAAAATTCCTGAAATTTAAAGCATGATATCGACAAAAATAAAAATATCTTTTTATAAAACAATAATTTTTTGAGTTTAGAGGTTTCTTTATTCAAATTAATTTTTTCGTACATATCACAGACAGGAAGATATTGCTGCATTTCCTTTGTCATGGAATGACCCAGATGTATCGTACAAGGGTAGAGGTGTAGCATCTGCCTTTAAAAAATAAAGTTTGTGTACAGCAAATTTTAAAATGGGCGAAAATGTAAAAAAAAGGCTGGGAGTCGTTTATGGTATTATAAGTGGTATATTTACTATACTTCCTCGAGCCTCGAGAACGTAGCATAAAATAGTTGACCCCAAGGGTAGTTGCATTAAATTTTTTTTAATGGTACTAGTAATAGAATTGAAGTAGTAGCTGGAGTAATGATCAAGGTTAAACATAAAATAGCGCAAAAAAGACAAGAACAAGAAGTATGCAGGACAAGCGCTAACTCTCAACTAATTTTACTAGGAAAAGCAAGCAGATGTACGCACGACAGGCGAAACAGCACCACATAAAAGTTGATTAATTTTGTACCTGATCATTCAAAAACTGAAATTCATTACTTTGAAGCATGATACAAATGTCGCTGACACGTGCTGTCCCACTTTTTTTATTTTTATTTGTTCAAGATTTCCAGCCTGTGTAGAAAGGCACAAGTCTCTGAAAGTCACACTGAATATTGTTTTCCTGTGTACGCAGGTTTCTTTTTCACCTCATATCATTACTGGTTATCAAAATCTAAGAAAATAAAGCAAAATTAAATATTTACTTTCCTATGCTAAATTAGTGTGTTAATTTAAGGTTGTATCTGGGATCCATTACTATAATCTACTCCTTAGTGCTTCTGTGTGACCGAGAAAGTTAAATTGGAATTTAGATGGATGACTAATCAATTTCTTTTTGTTCTTTGTTTTTTTGCTACACATTGAGTGATTTCTGGAGTCCTTATTATATGACAATGCAACATATATCATACATTTTTTCATGTTTAGATGATGCTCAACATGAAATGTGGACAAAATCCCGAGAACAAGAGTCATTATGCCAAGATTGGAGAGGTAAGGTTTGACATTTCTGCTTCATACGCAATGAGGCAATTTCACCCAGAATTTTCTACTTCCTTTCTCCTTCCTAGGCATTTGTTGCTCAATTTAGTTTACGTCTCATATATATTGATGTTTACTACAAAGGTTCAAATTTCCGAAAGATTTTGCTTCTGGTCACTCACTGAGGAAGTGTTCCAATGCATATATGGAGAGCTTGTACCAGATACCTATAGATGGCTACTTACTGCCTCTAGCTGGCTCACTTTGTGCCACATTTTCACATTCATTTCTCATTCTTCCAACTTTTAGACTTGGTTTTATGCACTTTCTCTAATCTCTTGGAACTTTTTTTTTTTTTTTTCATTGCCCACTGGTTTATCAGTGACGGAGCAGAAGAGATCGAAGGCAGTCTGTATTATTAACTGCATGAGTGTCCTCTTGCCCAGCCTGGACAGCCTGCTAGTCCATAGCAATTGGAAACATTGAGAGGGGAAATTTAAATACTGTAGTTTTCGTTGCTTGCAGTGTTTTGGGGGTGGGGGAGGGGGGGGGGGGGGGTAATGTTTTCCTCGAAAACAATAATCAGTTGCGAAGCAGAAAAGGCCCAGTTGTCTTGTAATTAAATAAAAATATATGTTTGATTAGTCTGGATTAATAGAATTTTTTAAAGTGTAACTCCAGCATAATTTTTTTGCTCATTATAAATTCTGCACATCTAAAATTTTACTTTTCAGTAGATAAGAACACACTTGGAAGGCCGTCAGTTTTGTTTCTAGGGAATATCTTTTGGTGGATGCATCCTTCAACAGATGCTAAGGGCAGAGGGATCAACTTTGACAAAGAACTCTACCAACTGGATTAGGGAGAAAACATGTGCCTTTTATGTGATTGAATCCGTAGCATTATACTGTGTTGTCTTTTAGAGGAATTGATGATTGCAGCTACTGGTGCAATTCCTTTGTGCAGGATGGGAGCTGCGTGCTGGGAAACCTTTCCGGGCCCTGCTGCGAATTCTGCCTCATGGGCAACTTTCTGATCAGCGAAGGGAAGCAGGGCAAGGTACTGCTGCCCTCATGCAGATTAGCAGCATAAGACCACTTTCAAAGCCTTGCATAATGCCTCGTGTTATTTGGTGAACTTTAAGCCTGTTTGCGATTGTCCTTATGGTTTAGCCAAGTTAGTTAAATTTCGACTGAATTAAAGTAGGTAGCTGACTTTTATTGTTTTGATTTCATGAACAATTTTCTTCCCATTAACAGGTGGCAGCAAGTAAGTGTGCCTGAAAACTGATCTTGAGAATTACGAAGGGCCCTATTTTTCATTAAAAAAAAATTTCAGATTTTTTTAAAAATATAATTACATTATAGTTTCTGTTACAGTATTGAAGGCTGTGCACAAAAGGCAAGCGTAATACATATTTGTTCTTGCAAAGTCCAGCTATACAAAGTCAAAATACAATTAGGCAATTTCTAACACACTAGAATGTTTAATTTGCCTGTCTTGTTCATTTGTTTATAACTAATGGAGAGTTAAAAAATGTTCCATCCACTTTTTCAGTGGAATTACTTTTTTGCTTAGGAATATTCATAATAATGTTGGTCACATCTTTACTTTAGAAATATTTACAAATGAAGTGATAGTCTTGTGTTAGAACATTGTTTAGGCGTGTGTAATTGAACATGATCAAAATAATCCTACGCAGGAACATATCTAAAATGCCTATTTGAGGATAAAATGAATCGGGTAAGTATTCAGAGTGATCTGATTTGATTCAAACTGATTTGAGTATAGGCGATTTGTTTTAGAAATTAGTGTAGGACTGCTGTATTGACAAGAACCCACAAACTACCGTATTTACACAATTGTAAGATGACTCGAATGTAAGTCAACGCCCCCACATTGCAAATCAGCGAAAAAAAAAAAAAATTCTTTAGATGTGCATTTTATTGCAAATACGCGAGAACGGCAAAGTATCTGTTTTGAAAGCCCAGCCTCCAACATGCGATCGGTGCCTGGCGTGCTTGGACCGCCCGTGCACGCTCAAGGTGCATGAGATGCCTAGGCGTTATCGAAACTAGGAAGTTTACGTTGGAGGCGGGACAACTGAAGCTGTTCCCTGTCGTTCTCACTCCCTCTGCAACTAGACTATGACTTGTCTTCACTGATGATGTCAGTCCCGTTGTCATCACTGCTACGTTCTCGAAGCACGTCGTCGGCGTCGTCCAACGAAATCTTCCACTTCGCAAATGACAGCATCAGCCGCATCTTCTGCGCTTGCTCGGCAATCGCGTTGCACGTCACGGGTAGGGACCGATTGCGCACTTTTGCGGCATACGTTGCAAGCCTGACCTCCAGCTCTGGAAGGCAACCCCACCTATCTAGACATTGGCCCGTGGAAGCCTCTTTGTTTGCTGTCACAGTTTAAGATCTTGCGCCACTACAGTCTTTACTGGAGCATCACCCCCTCCGACGGGTTGAACTTGCATCCAACAGTGCAGCTGTTGGATGCAAGTTCTTCACCCAGAAGCAACTGCTTCACCCAAAAGCAACTACTTCACCCAGAAGCAACCAATAGTGCAGCTGTTTGTTGCTTCTGGGTGAAGAATGGCCATAAACGAGCACCGAAAACCTAAACTGCCCGGATCACACGTGTCAATACAAAAAACGTGGTTAGCGCTCCAACATGACCTCGACACTTGATCAAGCGAGTTGCAACCGTGAATTGTGCGAAAACTACGAAAAGAAGCCGCGGGGAGCGAGCGAGTGAGCCGTGAGGCTATTCCAGCGGCCTCCGAAGTGGCTCTTACTAGAAGTACCACCACCCCTAAAAGTCAGGCACGCCGTGCGCTGTTCACCGCCATACATTCGGGTTAATTTGTGAGTCACGACCAATAAAACTCGTTCGTGCAAATAATAATTTTAATAAAATGTGTAAAAGGAGCGCACTGAACTCGTAACACGCCGAGGTGTTCTTGATATCGCGATTGTTTTGTTTATGTTGGCGGTGGAATGGTTTGGTTCAATAATAAGTCGAAAATCTGAAGCTGGCGAGGGACCCCCACTTTAGAATTTCAAAAATTGAAATATGGGTCGACGTGCATTCGTGTAAATACGGTATTTTTTAGGCAATCTCAATTTCACGCAATAGATTTATCCTGAACGAATATTGAACACCCCTGATTAAGTCCTTTTTCCTCCAGGATCGAAGAATGCGGTACATCGGAAGGAATTATACTAAAGCCATTTAGAGTACCTAATACACAGAGGGTGTGCCCATGCCCCAAAAAGTGCTCACAATTTACTCTTGAAGCATTTGTAGAAGAAGAAAATGGGATATCAAGTATTAAAAAATACCTGAAGGACTCGTGAATCACCTGCCATTTATAATCTTCGCGATGGCAGTCAAGAAGGAGGAATGAACTAACGACTTTAGGGGAAACAAGAAATCAAGGTCAAATACTAGCTTCCACAAAACCGGACATGGCAAAAGTAGAAAGAACGAAACAGAAACGAGGTCCTGGGCAGAGCACGGGAAAGGAAAAGCTGACGAACCGGAAGATGCACAGGGCACCTTTCGTCACGGGTCCGCACATGTCTCTATGCACGTTTGTTAGACTCGTTACATGTTCATTGTAGTGCGATCTTTGCATTTGCTTGTTTTGTAGCGGCAGATAGAAGGTCTGACCTTTTGCTTGGTCGAACCTTAAGAATGCCCATCTCTCAGTTTTTCACGGTTGTCTCCAAATCTTGAGTGGATGTTTGCTCGTCATGTTACAGTAGAGGTCTGTATTGTCGAGTGCAGTACCCAAAGTAAGCAAAGATCTTTGCGGAAACGTTAAAGGAAAAGAGACTGCTGCAACACTGTAGCTTAGAGCTAATCCTTTCGGAAAGCTACATTTTTTTTCTAGGCAGAATTTTGAGATATATAGTGACTTTCTTAGTCAAATACAGAAGTACTTTAAGATAAGAACTGGTTTTAGCTAGATTTCAATGAAATAAGGAACCCCTAACGTCCTACCCCAGTTGTGCAAAGTGTTATTTTAGGCTTTACTGATTTGTTTATCCCATTCGCTACCGCACGCATCGCGCGCTGCCGGGTTCTCCGTACCGCATGTTTTCCCCCTAAAAGAGGAACACGTTAAGCGTGACAGTTTTGCCTATATAATAAGCTTTTAAAGTAAAACTTCAAACAGAAAACAAGAAAACATCTTTATTTGCATGCTTAAGCGGTTCGTTCAAGTCTTTAAATCAATAAGCCCTCACAGATTCTTCCTCGTATGAAAGATCTTGAAGCACTCTATCCTCGGTCGCTTAGGCATCGTACAACCAATGCGGTCTTGTCATGATTCAGACTCGGGACTGCTGTCAAAATTGCTCCTGTCGTCTACAGAAGGCTCCGAAAACTCGCTATCCTCACCAGACGTCCCGTCATCATCGCTGTCGAAGAGTACAGTAAAACCTTGTTTAACAAAGTTGATGGAGCGGTCATAATTATTTCGTTATAACCATTAGTTTGTTATAGCCACTGTCCATTTCTTCCCACTATTAGCAAGCAAGGGGAATTATGATTGCTTTGTTATATCCATTAGTTTGTTATATCCCATTTTGTTATAACGAGGGTTTTCTGTATATCTATGATTTCACAGTCAGAAAGGCCACACCGTACAGTGGATGCTGCCATCTTCTCCAAGCAGGCAGCGATCGAGCGAGAAAGACGACAAACAAAGGAACAAAAAATATTGAGTTGTGTGTATGTTTATACAGCCTAGAACTTTGTCTGCCTCAATGGGCGACGAGTCTCTCAGCTGTAGATGAGCAATTTAGCCAGTGCAGTACAACCGCCAGTTTGGGTCTTTAACGTGCACCACGCAGTAGTGATACACAACCGTACGCCGGTACAGTGCTCATCCAGATCGAAACGGGCAGGTGTGGGGATTGAACCCAGGATCCTGGGTTCTGCAGCGTGAGCTTTCGCTCCACAAGCTCCGGGCTGGTGTACGCTAGCCCACTCAGCCAGCAATCACCCGCAAAAGAACAAACTCAAACAAACACAGTGAACAGAACAACCTCACCATCTGTTGGCCATGTATCTAACTACACTGTCCCAAGTCTATATAACGTGCCATCTATGAATGACTTTTTAAAGCAGCAATTTATGCAGACCGGCGAATCACCGGCTTTGGCAATAAGTCCCCTGACGGCACGCCTGGCGATTCGCCGGCATTGGTAATGAATGGGTTGTTTAAAAAAAATCCATGAAAGCTACACTTGTGTGGTTTGTGTCTAGGCTGACATGGTATATGGGGCTAATCGTAATGATCATTAGGTTAAGTAAAATTTGTTAATTAACTTTTTAATTAGTGAAAATAGACATACGGTTCCGATTAGAAACTTGCTGAGCATCATTCAAACAACTAAATCAATTATTTTTAGAAATACTTTCAGTGCGTAGTAGTGTGGTAAAGGTACCACTTGTGCAGCAGGTACAAGACTGGGTCCAATATAAGTAGAGCCCTGCATGGATAACAGTTTGAGTATCCGCATCTGATCCGCATCTGCATATTTTGTATCCGTATCCGAACCGCATCCGCAAAATGTGGAACCATTTCGATGTTCTAGCTAACCACCAGAGGTTACGACTACATTTAGACTAGCAAAATCAGCGGAATTCACGCCGGCCGCATTCTTCCCCGCCGCACGCAAAATTGGAAACTTTCACCTGTGGCCCCTTAACTCTTTCCTGAAGTTTAAACGCCTAAAAAAAAAAAAAGTCATAAAAAAAAAAGGTTGGAAAGAGAGGAGGAGAAGCAGTGGTAGGAAGACAAAATCCTTTCTGTGAGGCCGCCTCGAGTCTCATGGTGTTTCGTGTCGGCCAGCAGGCAGATGCGCCGCTAAGTCAGAGTCCAAGGCCTGATCAGATCGACTAACATGTTCGAGAAAGATCGCGGCCTGCAGGCGCCCAAACATATATATTTAAAAAAAAAAATTTTTTTTTGCTTGGATCGGTTACAGGGGTTGTGCACGGCAGCCGCTGGCATTGCTGGTGCCCTGGCGTCGTAACCGGACGAATATGAACTACCAGACTTTCTTGGCTAGAACTCTAAACATACAAAAAGAAACAGGCAATTTACGGACTGCCTGTATGCGTGTGCCGCTGATTCCGAAATTTTGCAAACCGTGGCGCCACAGGGTCGCGCTCACTGTCGAAGCACTTCTTTTGTTTTTGGTATCATGACCACACCACTCTCTGCGGAGAGGGGGAGGTTTCTTCTACTTTCTTGTGACTTGTTTGTTTGAGGTTTTCTTTGCCCGGAGAAAGTTTTCTGCTCTTTCCCTGCCAAAGAACTAGCTTTCTCAGGACGATTGATGCCCTGCATTCTTAACTTTTTCTATAGATAGCACTTTTGACGAGATCAAATGCACTAACTGTGATCTTCAGTATGAATCAGATCTTTCTTAGGATCCCTATTTTTTCTTCGAAACGCATTTTGTGGAAATACGTTTCGTGGACTAGTTTTCACGAACATACTTTTCATGGATACACGGTTCGTCGACGCTGTATGTTTTGTAGGCACATGCCCGTGCGATGTTTTGTCGACAACATATTTCTTCACTAAGCCGCTAAAATGTAGCGCGTGATTCACTAAGGCGTGCTTAACCAAACCATGTCCCCATCCCCCTTGTAATCCAGGCAAGACGCAGAAAGTTTGTTACGAAAATAGCAGGGTTGTGTGCGATGAAGCGTCTCAGGTTTTCCTATGAAACGAACACAGGAGGCCTTTCGTTTAAACGTCTCATGTCGACTAAATGATTTGTAGATGAAACGTCAGTCGACGGACTATATGCCACCAGACAAAAATTTAGATCCGGATCCGCGGATATCCACATCCGCAGCCCCTGACATCCACATCCGATCCGCAATACGCCAAAATCTGTCTGATTTTTATCCGCATCCGCCAGTTTACTGAACATATCTGCAGAAAAATCAGACAGATTTTGGCGTATTGCGGATCGGATGTGGATGTCAGGGGCTGCGGATGTGGATATCCACGGATCCGGTTCTAAATTTGCGGATATGCAGGGCTCTAAATATAATAGAGGTTAAAATCATACGGGCACCTCATTGCGCCGGTAGCCCTGCTCCTGCTTCACGAGTGGTAACTTTAGCGCACTACTACGCTTCTCGCGCGCTCAGTCTTTCTGAAAATGGTTCATTTTGTGGTTTTCGATGACGCTCAGTGAGTTTTCAATTGGAAACATATGCCTATTTTCTCCAATTAAAAAGTTAATTAACAAATTTTACTTGATTAGCCGACTGATCGTTACCATTAGCCCCCTATACTATGTCCCCTTGGCCGTTTACCTTACCTGCACAAACCGCATAAGTGTAGCTGTATATCTGGTCGCCCGTCATGCTGGGAGTGCTTAAGTTGTCAAAAAAAATTGAGTTGATATTGTTTTTTAGTTAATCTTTTTGCTCGTATGATAAGCTTCTTTTGTGCTCGCAGGTGATTAAGGTGAGTGCCAAGAAACGCACAGGGCTGGAGAACTTTGTGACGGCCATGCGTAATGGCCTTAAGGCCAAGTATGGCACCGAACCTGTCGGCATGGGTGGAGCATTTCTTCTTGCCCAGGGAAAGGCGAAGCTCCACATTATGGTGAGCACCGATTTGACTGTATTCCACATTACCATGAGTCGGTTTGGGCAAAGTGTACATTGCTGATCTCGCAACGATTATGCCATATTTTGGCATGCTTCGGCAATATGCACTTTGTTTGATACTTGGCGTACAATGTTGTCATAGCTGCTGCTCGTGCTAATGAAACGCTAAATGAAGCCACACACTTCTGCCAATAGCTTTAACGGTGCTGCATACTGAGCTTGAAACGGAGGTGAGTACTATGGGTGGGGTGTTACAAATCGAGGCTTCCATTCAAAAATCGGCTGGAAAAATCGGCACCTGCATCTAAAAGCTTGAACTTACACCAGTGGTGTGTTCTAGTGGCAGATTTTACCTCGCAAAATTTCAAGGCATAGCAGCATTTCTCCACAAGGTTAGAATTAGGCCCATGAAATTTTTGACGGCTGGCACTGATGAGTTGATTGAGAGTTAGGTAGGCTTGGGGTACTGTCTCCTGATAGGTACAGCAAGTGCTCGGTCCAAAGTGCCTGTCTGCTTGCTGCATCAATGCGCCGAGAAACTGAGGAAGAGGAGGAGACGAGTGCACGCAGAGACATCAGAACGCTGAGCTCTGGTTCGAATGATTAGTAGGTAGACCTAAAGCTAGCTGACTTTGTTTCCACTTCGCTCGACGAACGCGTTTGAATGCGAGAGCAAAATACCGGATTCCACATCCAAACTCATTTGACGAGTGCAGTGGAGTCAAAGGCTGCCTTAGTCTCCACTGCACTTGTCAAACACATTCGAATCTGAAAGCCAAATGTCAGACGCCAGCGTTCCGTGTCCTAACATGTTTAACGAGTGTGGTGGAGGCAAAAGCAGCTAGCTTTGCATCTACCCACTAATCATTACAACTGGAGATGCCACAAACTTTTTTCAAACCTGGGGGTTCGAGAACGTTTTGAAATGTAAAACTTAATACATAAGAAATTTAATGATTTTCGAACTTTCGAATTTTGGAGCAAATGAAATTCGGTTGTTTCCGAACTCTAGAATTTTTCACGCTATGGAATTCGAGAATTTCTTAACTTTTGGAACTTATACACTAAGAAATTTAACAATTCTCTCACTTAAGAGCTTGCTAAGTTACAGAGTTTGACAAACTTTAGACTTCTGAGCAAAAATTTTATCCAGGTTCACCCCCATAGGTTTGAGGCAACATATAAATAACAAAAAATGTCAATGTGTGAAGTGGAGTGGATCATGCCACAAACACCTAGCTTTTAAAGCGCTGAATGATCCCTTTGGGGTGGCCGCGGCCTCGTACCTCACACCTAATTCTTTTGACTTCCGCACAGAGGCACTCCCGTGCACAATTCCGTAGGTTTGTCTGAGATAACCTGGCGAGCCTACAGACCCCTGATCTGCAGGCTCGAAATTCAATCAAGGTGCTTCGCTGGCGGCATCCTTCATAGCTGTTTTTGAACGAAAGTCCCCCGATTTCTTTCTAGTACAACTGGTCGGTGAAAGTAGCGCACGGAGCGCGATGCTGATGTGCCACAGCGAACGCTGGGTTGGTGCTTACTTCATTATCATTAGTAACCACCTGGTTACTAATGAAGAAGGGAAATTCCAGGCAGCGGCAATATGGCTAACTCGATGACAATCGGTCGTGACCTTAACGTCTGTATAACGAAGGGAGGGGGGGGCTTTAATTTAATCTGATTGCGTTCTACGCAATCTTGACTTTTGTCGGGTGCTGTGACTGTCCAGAGTTTTTATCATCCCACGGGTCATCCCACCAAACACAAATGCTCGAAGCATTTAAGAAATTTTGGGAAGCCTGGATGTGTTTATGTGCCTGCGCTGTCTTGTATATTTAGTTACTCAGCATCCCATTTACGCGACGTTTGGTCGGATTGCTACTATTTGCAAATAAGTAGGAAGTATGTTCACCTGACCGTCTCAGGGCTTTTCGACGACCCGTTCAACCAGTTCAACGCTTGTTTCATAGTTTGGGACAAATAATGAGTAATACAGGTACCGTCAGCACTGACAAGAAAGAAGTGTATGTATGGCATAACAGAAATGTTCAATGTTTTGAGTAAAATTTGCAGCAGATTTTGCATTTTTTTAGATGTATCCATGAAAACTTGTTAGAAACTGCTGAATTTAATCTGTCCCTGTCCGTGAAATTCACACTTCAATCTTAAAATCAAACCTTTTGAACTTTTTTGAAGTGTACCTCGGAAGAAATTCGAAATCTTTGAATTTTTCGATTATTTGTCAAAAAATCGGAAATCTTTGGACTCAAACTTTCAGAAACCTTGACATTTTCGAGTTTTTCGAATTCATATGTTAATGGGGTTCTAAAGTTGCAAACTTTTCAAATTCAAACCTTGTGGAGGTTCGAAATTGTCTAAACTTTTCGAACTCCGACTTCAGGAGGTTCGAAATTTTCTAAACTTTTCGAACTCCAACTTCAGGAGGTTCGAAATTTTCTAAACTTTTCGAACTCCAACTTCAGGAGGTTCGTGGCGTCCTTAATTACAACCGGAGCTCGGCGTTCTGATGATGTCCCCGTGCGCTCTCGTCTCCTCTTCTCCCTCACTTTCTTGGTGCATTGGGAGATGGCTCCACAGGCTAAGCTTTTGGACTCGCTTCTCTGCAGTGGTGGTTGTTGCTAAAAACGTCAAGAGCATTCTAACTTTCCATAGGAACGAAGCTTCATCTTGAAATTTTATGGGGTAAAATGTGCCACTAAATACCTTTGGTGAAGGTTTGAGATCGTCACTTGCAGGTGTCAATTTTTCAAGTTGATCTTGGGGCGAGCCCCTTGGTCCGTAACAGCTTTATTTGCAGTGAAAGGAAACATTGGATAGCTAGTTCTTGAAGGAATGTGTGATGCACGAAGAAAGTGTTGCCCTCTGTTGGCACGGTGAAAGAGCACATTTACCCATAAAATGTTCACATTCATTTTCAGCCCAAGTTCTCCACTGCGCCACTCCTGACGGATGCGGCGATGAACCAGTGGCTCAAGTTCTTCGAGATGAGCGCACCTTTGGTTTGCCTTAGCACCTTTGTGTCCCACGATCCAGTGAGTAATTGCGAAAGCACCCCCACACAAGCATGTTTTGGTTGAAACCACTTGGTTGTCATTAGGACCCAATATTTTGTAGGAAATGTCTCCTGCCTAGCTTTTGACTTCAAGCCTTTGTAAACTTTGCCTTTACTTTAATTGTTTTGTACTTATAAGTAACATATGTAACCATTTGGGGAAAGGCTTGGAAAGGCATTGGTCTTCCTTGACTTTTTTTTCGGTGTCTGGTTTTGCATTATTTACAGGTTCGTTGCTAAATTCCCTGGTTTGTTTGTGAGGAACATCTGGTGTAGGTTACATGAATTTCTCATCAGAAAGATGTTATAATTACGTGCTTTCAAACGGGTGCCTTTAGGATCACTAATGGCAAACTTCACTCGACTACTTCCGCAAGCGACGGAGCAAGCGAGAATTAGGATGGTCCTTTTATGGACGCAGTGGTGCATCGCGCGTGACTACCGTAAAATTCCGAGAGATGCCCCACCCCCGAAAGGTAACCCACTCCTATTTTTGGCTTGATTTGCTATTTCTTTTTAAACACTGATAGATAGCCTACTCCTAGTAATCATAGTGTCAGGATGAATGATTACCATGTTTGCACACATCTAACGTGCACTTTTTTTCCCCAAAATCGGTGCCCAAAACTGCATGCATGTTACAATCGAAACCAAAAACTGAAACTAAAGAAAAATGCCATACTGGGTGTAAGGTGGCTAGCTCCATCACCATCGTGACATTTTTGTTTACATTCGCCATTTTGGTATTCGTATCATGTGCAGTCTCGCATATACACCAACTCATGTTTACAAACAAACCGGAGCGCCCCTAGCGGACGCCACCGGCGCCGCGCATGCGCGGTGGATGGTGGGCAAGAAGCCCGCCGTCGCCCATAAACAAACCATTGAATTGCGTTGTTGTCAGCGTCGGTGGGAGTCCCCGTGCTCCTTTTCGCGTTGGAATTGTTGATTCTACGTCCTCCTAACAATGTCTGACTACTTGAGCGGCTTCAGCAAAACTATCGAGGCAAAACTTTGCGTGAATAATGTGACGCGCGGCGATTCATTTCACGTGGACGCCGCAGAATGGGCGCTAGAGCCTGACTCCCACGATGAGATTCTGCTCGCTATTTTCAGTCGCGACGTCGCTCGGACTACAAAAGCGTGGACCGTAGCTGAGATGGTGGACATCGGTACTGAAAACCGCAAGTAGAATCGGGCATTACAAGTCGGTGATGGCCACTGGTAACAATGATCAACAACTTCTTGTATCTGTTTACACTTAGCCGACTTACCCCAACCAACCTTCAAGTGTGTTTAGAGGCCGGCACTTAGTTCTTATCGCAATTACCGGGTCAACGTTTGGTTTACGGGTCGCTGTCGTTTGAACGAGCTGACGACAAAAAGCAGCCAAGTTTGAAAGAGCAGGCGACAGTTCGAACGCACGCGCAATGGGGTACGGGCAAGAAGCACCGCGTCCCGCGTCAACAAACCATTCGAATGTCACGTTGTAGGCGTCTGTGTGAGTCTGCATACTCTTTTTCGCGTTGGAGTTGTCGATTCTACATCCTCATCGCAATGTCTTACCACTTGAATCGCCTGAGCGAAATTATCAAGGCTTGTTACGCCGCTAAACTTTCCATAAATAATTTGACGTGCGGCGATTCATTCGCATGAACGCTGTAGAAATGGACGCCAAAACCATGAAGAGATTCTTGTAGCTATTTTCGGTCGCGACGTCGCTCGTGCTGCAAAAGTGTAAAAGGTAGCGGCGATGATCGACGTCGATACTGAAAATCGGAAGCGGGAACAGACCAAGCGTAACAAGTAGGCGATGGCCACCGGTACCAACAATTAACATCTTGTATCTACTGTTTACACCGAGCCTACTTAAGCCTTTTGAGGCCTGCAATTACTTCTTATTGCAATCACCGGGTCAAAGTTTGGTCTACGGGCCGCTTTTGTTTGAACGAGCAGACGACAAAAAGCAGACAACTTTGAAAGAGCAGACGAAAGTTCGAACGATCAGGCGGCCGTGTGAATTTGAAGACGCACTGAACCCGTGGGTGGTCCGGACAACTTGAGGGTTTTCTCTCGTTCATGTTAGAACAAAGCAAATACATCTGGCGATCACAAATTGTCGCCCGCACACGCAATCGTAGTTCGACAGCGTCTGGTTTGCCCTTTTCACGGCTACTATCCACGTTCTCGGACGAACGGAGAGTGCAAAAACACATGAAAACTGATCTTCAAACCTTTCCAGACTGTCTTGGTAAAGCCCCCATTGCAGCATTTTGACGAGAAGACAGGTTTTTTGTCTCGTATCTTCGAAAGGAACACAGGAATGCATGTCTGGCACGGAGACTTCTGCCCACCGCGCCAGACCGGAAGTGCGTCCGGCGCGCCACCACCGCGGCGTGACGTAGGAGAGTTGAGTTGGTGTATACGGACTCGTGTCCGCCATTTTAAAATGGAAAAAGAAAACAAAAATACACTGAGAGGTTTTATTTGAACGAAAGGCCGTCACGCTGGCGGGAAAGATAACAGACGAGCAGCACTGCGGGACCTCGCAATCCCAGTGACCCGATGAGCTCGCAAAGTGTTTTTTGGAAGATGACCCTCCCAAACGCGACGGTCGCGTACTTGAACATGCGCAAGAAGCGCAGAACGTAAAACGCTTCAGACGGAAGCAAGTATTACCTCTGTGTACAGCGAAGAACCATCGACTAGTGCACTGCATTTATTTTTGTTTTGGCGTTCGTTTCATAAATTCCATTCTATCAGGTATCCGTTCAGTCTTCATTATTTTACCTGTACGGTAGAATCGGCCACAATTTACTTTTTGAATATATCTGAAAGCTAAATCGCCCTGCGTGGTAGAATCGGGGGAGCGTTAGAATAGTGCAAACACGGTACCTCGGCATAAATGCGTCTAGTTACCTATGGTGGGTTATAAGCGAGCATTGCTGACTGGGAAGTAGTCATCTTAGCTTGATTGCCACTTGCCACAATAACATCTTTGACAGAGACACATAATTGAAAAATGTCATTTTTTCATTTTTTCGGGATTGCACGCCGAAAGTAAGCCCATTCCCAATTTTCACCCAATTTTTTTTTCGATTTTAGGTGGGCTATCTTTTGGGATATTACGGTAGCCAATGGCGTGCCGCTATGGCGATCGCTTCTGTTTGTTTTATTTTTGCGTTTTTCTGCATTTTGTGAATTTTTTGTGTCAAACTGTTGTGGTATTTGGACTCGGCAGACAAAAACGCGTCAGAATCAACCTTTAACTCGCTTTTCTAAAAGCTCTCCAGCTTCCCTTTAGCCACTCTATCCTGTCTCTAGATTAGACCGATTAATAAATATACCGATGGATCGAGGATTTTAATTTTCAAATACTGTCGTGAATGGTTATATCGAAGTCGATTATAACGACATGGCGGCTATAGTGAAACGATCGCGATTTCCCATTTCCGTTTGCACTTTTTCAATGTACTATTTGTGTCTGTTTTAAGCGAAGGAAAAAGACCGGCTTCCGCTGTTATTGCGAAGAAAGATGTTCTAATAATTTAAAAAAGAATCAAATTTGTAAAGTTCATGAAGTCGCAGACCGCCACACTTTGCTGCTGCGGCTGAGCAGCCACCTGGACCGGGCCGCAGGCTTGCCCTACAAAGGCTGGCAGCGGCACGCTCTGCATCGTTGTCTGCTCCTTGCTCCTTATCTGAAAAGTGGCTCTTCTGCATCATGCGCGGCAAAGCCATTGTGGTGTGCCAATAAGGGCGTATGGAGCACTATTGACAAGATACTGATAGAGGCATAGAATTGTTATAATGTACGCTAGAGGTTCAAGTAACACTAGTGTCTATGGGACTGCCGGGACGCAAATTGAAGCAGGCAGCAACCAGTTTACTTTTGCAATGCTGTTGTGCATTCGTATGGGAAACGCGCGTGCATTTTCTCTCTTCGCTGGAAAATAACACAAATAACTTGTTATTTGGGTTGTATTGAATAGTATGTACCATTATTAACACTGTAAAAGTGTTACCGTATTTACTCGCAGAATGAACGCACTTTTTTTCCGAAAAATCGATGCAAAGTTAGGGGGGGCGTTCATTACACGAAGTAAAAGTTTGTGTCCGTATTTACTCGCATAATGAACGCACTTTTTTTCCGAAAAATCCTGAAAAATCGAAGTAACTTCTTATCTCTTTGCACGCCGCGCTCGACCCCCTAACCAAACTAAACTGTGCAAAAAAAAACAAAAAATCTTTTCTTTTTCTCTTAGTTCCTTGTTTTTTTTATTTTTGCCGCCTTTCGCAAGCTGTTTTGTTTGCTTAGGCGTTGCTTAGGCGGAGGCTCTCCGCTTATCTTTCTATCTCCTTGAGCGCGGCGCGCGACCCCCCCCCCCCCCCCCCGTAACCAAACTGCGCTGTGCAAAAAAAAAAAAAAAAAAGGAGAAAAAAAAAAGCTCCTCTTTTTCTTCTGTTTTTTCTCAGTTCCATGTTTTTTTTGTTTTTTTTTTTCTTTTTGCCGCCTTTCGCAAGCTGTTTCGTTTGCTTAGAGGGCTTCTCCGCTTCTCTTTCTTACCTCCTTGCGCGCGGCGGCGCGCGAACCCAAAATCCAGACTGCGCTGTGCAAAAAAAAAAAAAAAAAAAAAAAAAGAAGCTCTTCCGCATGTTTTTTTTTCTTGCTTCCCTTGGATCTTTGCGATTGTTTTTTAACGCCTTTTGCAAGGCGTTTTGTTCGCCCACGCTGCCTATGCATTCGCTACCTTGCTGTACCAGGGTAGAAAAGTGCGTTAATTTCGCGCGCGTGGGGGGAGAGGGTCAAAATTTTGGCGTCTGGGTTCAAAGTGCGTTTATTACGCGAGTGAAAAAAAAAAAAAGTCGAAATTTTGAGAGCCGACTTCGGGGGTGCGTTCATTACGCGAGTGCGTTCATTGTGCAAGTAAATACGGTATTGCTTTAGTTAAAGCATTTTTCTTTACGAGTGAACAATATTAAACTTCACTATATTTCAGGCCCAAACCTCTGCTCCATAGCAGGTATGTCAGAATGAGTGACGATCCTAAGCAAAATAGCAATTGAAAGGAATGTAGAGTGTGTTCAAGGTCTGCCAGCCTTCTGGTGGTGCCTATATAGTATTGCTAATGTCCTATGTCGGGCAGCTAGCTTTTATTGGGTACCTGTTCTCGGGCTTCTCCCTATATTCAAAAATTTTGAGTGTCTTCGCACATATTCACAGTTAGGAAAATGAAGCAGTACGTATTTATTGCAAATCGGACTATATTACGTGACCTTCAATTTATTTTAGTCATCCACATCAGGGGTGGCCAAGCTGCGGCTCTTTGCGCGTTGAAGTGCGGCTCGCAGCTCCCTCCCGTTCCCTCCTCCCCCCCTCCCCCCTCCTGCCTCCCCTGCCTCCCCCACCTCCCCCCGGTCACACGAGCACTTCCCCAAAAAAAGAAATGGAATGCATTTTAAAACGAAAGACAGGTTGCGGTTTGGTAGTATTGTGTTACTGTTACCGTACGTACAGCTGGACTGCTTTTGAATCGGATAGATGGAAAGTAGTTTGAGTTTCGTTTATTGCTCTGGACAAAAGTCCCCCCCCCCCCCCCCCCCCCCCCCCGGCTCTTGGAAGTTTCGTAGTTTTGTTTTTGGCTCTTAAACCGGGTCAGCCTGGCCACCCCTGGTCTACAAGCAGAAGTTATAGATTCAGTGTTACTGCATAGTTCTTGCCGTCTCTCTCGGTTTTCCACATGTTTTTCATTTTTTTGGTGCTGAATTTGCTTGTTTTCATTTTGTTTTTCTCCGGTGCATTGTGAAGACATGTGTTTTACATGTGGTTGATAACATTTAGATCGGCTTGTCAGGATTTATTGTTTTGTAATGTTACGTAGAAGCCTCGTGAGAGTGCATTTTTAGTTTACTGTTGCGTTTTACTCAATATATTTTGTAATTACCCTTATGTAATAAACCTGAATGGGTTTTTGAGGTATTGTGAAGAGATATATAAATAAACAAATACCTCCCATGCTGGAAAGCGCTGACGCCATGTTTGTGCTCACAGTGTCTGACAGTGCACGTAAATACAGTCGCCGACCGATTATTCGGACTTCGCTGGGACCGAAAAAACGTCCTAATAATAGAGCAGTCCGAAAAATGAGCAGATTGAAAAACTTGCCTTTATTACTTCCAAGTGGGCTTAAAAAAGCCGTAAATAGTGCCTTGGTTCAGGTTACGCCTGCGTGCCTTGTTTTAGGTTACGCCTCCGTTTCCGTTCGACAGCTTTCTGTTAGCTTGAGAATCGCTGCCTTCTTTTCTAGCATTATGGTCGAGTGGCAGAAGAACAAATGGGGCCATGACGTCCAAGCCAGCGTTGTGCGAACGAGATCAGAGGCGCAAATCCACGAGCGCAAAATGGCGACTGGCGACGCGAAGGAACGAAAAACAAAGCAAAATGATAATGATGATGATGATGACGTGCAGCTAAATGGGGAAAAAAAGGGCTAGCATAGCGTCACCTAGCGGTAGGACTCAGGAGTGCTCAAGTAGCGCTGCCAAACCAAGCCAATCCATTGGCAGCTAACATAGAATTCGAAATGGCCGCTTCTCGATGGTGTTTTCTGCTGATCGCTCGCAACGATTTTTTCCGAATAATCAAACTTTCGGACTTCAAGCTGTCCGAAACATTGGTCGTGAATATACACTATTTCTCTGGGGTAAGTCACGGTTCTGCCTTTAGGTCCTAAATATAGAACAAGTCCGAATTATCGGAGTCCGAAAAAACGGTTGTCGACTGTACATGTATGAAGCCGTTTTAGCACAGTTTTTGATGCCATGTATACGAAATAAAAACACCGTAACTGACCAATTATTTAGTCTGCGTGAGTGAGAAATGTTAAAATCTACCTAGTACAAATAAATTATTTGTGATATTTGCTCTTATAATCAAGCGCAGGGAGAAAATGCACTTGCTTTTTACTGTAGAAATGCATTACAAGAAGTCAATTTCCGACTGGTTGCTGTCTGCTTCACATTGTCACAGCACACTAGCACCTGAACCTCTAGCATACATTATAATAACTCTATGAATAAAGACGACGTAGAGAGCCTAGATTTAAGAGAGGGAGCAACTCCAACGATGGAGAGCATTTATAATTTAATGGCAGACGAGAGGCGGACACGTTTGCAGACGTTGAACGCTTTTGACTCCTTGCAGGCTGCAGCTCGTTATGCAAGCGCGGCCCACAAACCTTGTGACCCTATCAAGCAGTTTCCCCCTCGCTTAAATCTGTGCTCTCCATATAATATTGACGACACACAAGCTTGAGAGCGAACTCGGTGCCGTGCACGCTTCTTTGTTTGCTTCGTGTTCCGTGTCGGCGTTGCTAGTTGGTGGGGGTCGCTCTCTGCATGAAAGTCTAGCTTCGCTCCAGTACCATTCGGTGACTCATCGCCACTCAACGATGGCAAGTCCCGGCTCCACTGGTACCATGACGGGGAAAACGAAGGCAATCTCCTTGAAACAAAGGCGTGCTGCCATCCCTGACAAAGTGTGCATAAATGTAAAGAATGTCGTCTACTGCCGCATCCTCTGCGGCGGCCATTGCAGCTGCCGACACGGTCCGTATGTAGATCACAGGACCTTCTTTTGATTGGAGCCTCTCGAAGTTGGAGAAAAGCGGCTCTGATCTTACAGAAAGCGCATGCAGGGAAACCTCAGCTGCTTTCTGCAGGCATGATAAACATCTACCCGTAACAACCCGTGCAACCTTTTTTCTTTTTTTTGGCCGTGTTATTTTTATGGAGTTTAGATATAACGAGGAAACGGATAGAGCGAAGTGAAATCAGATTCCCGTTGACTTCAATAAAACCAGTCTCGACTGTAGTTTAGAATAACACATGATTTAATATTTGCTGCGAGGTGAACTGTGATATTCATACTTTTCTAAGTGTTGATTGCAGCGGGTTAGTCCCGTTGAGTATGCTTCTCACCGAGCATCTGTGCTCTGCGGGGAAGCATTATCCGCAAAGTCGGCGAGCTCCGCGGGTATTGCTTCCCCGCAGTGCACAAGTGCTCGGTGAGAATCGCACCCAACGGGGCTCACCCGCCGCGATTATACGAGAGTGTATGTAGGGTTCTGTGCTTTCAAATAAATCTGATAAACTAAAAAAAAAAAAAAAATGTTCACCGGTAAAATTTTTAGCAACTTTGATTTATCCACAAAGCTCTAAATTTGGAAGTCACAATAACAAACTAAAATGCAAAAAAAAAAAAAAAGGTATTTTTGCTAATAAAGTTTGTCAGAGCACAGGACTAGTGGTTCCGAATAAGGACCAATTCAGTTTTGTTTTTTATTTTTTATCTTGGACTATTGACGAAGGGCATTTTCCGTTTACATCATCAAGGTTTGTTCAGTTCAATCAGCCAATGTACTTCTGAACCACGATAGAAGGCAATCTTCCGGTTTCCAGTTTGAACCATACTATTTGTGCATCTTAGATGGAGGAGGGGTTGTGTTTTTTCACAGTAAAAGTGTGAACCTGTCGATTTTATAGGACGGGGAGGGCAGGCTGAAGGTTTTATGCATGTTTGGCTATTTCAAAGTACCGACATCTGTTAAAGTAAATCATTCTTTGAAGATTTGTCGTGGGACAGTTAGTTTGTCAATCGCAAGGACACCAATGCCAAGTGCAGCTACAGGAATATTTTTCGATACTGGTTATTTCCTTTATTAATTTAGTGTATGTTCTTGTCCAAACATTTTTAACTTCTGTTTTGAAAAAAGATAAGAACGGAATGAAATTAACCACAGAATTTTCGAGAATCGGGGAGCTCACAAAACTCCGATAGACCCCAAACCTCCAGTGGCGAAAAATAAGCTGCATTAAACACCCTTTGAATTTCACAAACAATAAACTCTAAAAACATGGAATTTTAAGTATATGCTACCCAGCAATACCTTGGCACCCAGCATTCACCATTCGTGCTTGTTTCTTTTTTTTCCTTTGAAATAGAAGAAAGAATATTTGCATATAGTCGAATCTCGTTAATTCAAACTCTCTTAATTTAAACTTGCGGATAATTCAAAGTAACATGCAGGTCCCATCCTATGCATCTCTGTGGGAGGGAGCTCCTGGTAATTCAAACTTTGCGTTATTCAAACAAATTTTTGGTCCCGCTTGAGTATGAATTAACGAGATTCGACTGTATAGTGAGCAGATTTATAAGCACCTTCGATTTGGATAGCTGCAAAAAATCTATCATTTATGCATTTCAGTTTATATAGTTATATAAAAATTAACCGAGCTTAGAAGTGGACAAGTGGAAAAATGAGAACGACCTTCACGAGTTCAGCCAAATATTTGTTTACGCACGGTCCAAAGTATTGAAAGGCTTTGAGGAGCTGATCGATATTCGATTCGAAACATTACACCAAAACCTCTTTTCGCTTCGAATTCAAAGTCGATCCACAATTCGCACGTGACTAAAAACTTTTCATCGCTGCAAGAACCCGACACCTTGCATAGACCTTTGAATGCGTTTGAGTCGGTCGTCCGTCCGTTAGCACCGGCGGCGGTCTAACCCCGCCTCGTTTCGTCGCAGGGCTGGGACCTGCGCATTGAGCACACACACTGCTTCAGCGACCACAAGCAGGGGGGCCACTACCACTACGACACAACGCCGGACGAAGTGGAGTACCTGGGCTACTTCAACGTGGCCGAGTGGCTGTACCGCATCGACGCCCCCGTTTCCACCCACAAGATTGGCCGTGACTGAGGTGGACGGGGCGCAGGGGCAGCTAACATGACGATTGCCTCGCGCACTGCCTCTTTTGCGTTAGGCTTGCCCAAACTTTGGTCTTCCTCACGGGCGGCATTCCCGCAGTTTCGAGAGCCACGTTCGATGCGTGGGCGGGTTGGGACTGCCAATGTACCGGCTGAAAAGGTGTTTTGGGCACTGCGCCGCTAGGGTCAATCTTGCCTCGACGACTGCACTACGATGGTCAATCCACTCGTCATATGGCACTCGCTTTTTATGGAGTGCGTCGTACGGAGTAATTTGTGCGCATACTAGAAGCAGCTGTACAGTCGAGCCCGGTTATATCATGTTCGGGTATTTCAAATTATTGTTTATATCAAACGGTCCGAACATCTCCTTGAAAATAGCATGATTTACTATAGGAGACGTGTCTTTTTGTATCCAACTGCCATGCCGGGGACACTCGATGTAGTGAACGAAGCCCGGCCGCCCGTTGCTTTTCCCGCAATCCGATTGCTCCGGTGGCGAGCAGATTGCTTGCGTTGCGTGGCTGGGAGACTGCCTAGCCAGCATACAGGTGGTAAGAGGAAACGCAGCAAAAGAGCAGTTGTAGAAAAAAAGAAACAATGAACCATAAAAAAAAAAAAAAAAATGGAGGATAACAGAAACGAGGGGAAGGGCACGCGCGTGCGTAGCGAGAGCGGGGAGTGCTTGCTGTCGGAACAGTAGCCTGAGCCCTTTCCCCAAACACTGCTGATGCTGTGCGACTCCCTAGCCCCAAAGTAAAATGAGCAAAAAAAAAATTGATTTGGTAAGCCGAGTGTGTTGACAACAACGGTTGTGCAATCACACTTTGAACCCATTATCTTTGTTTATTTTTTTTATTTTGCTGTTATGCTTGTTTGCGGTCTCTGCCAACTATGCTGTACTGTGTTTAGTCGCTCTTGGATGCTCTATTTGGCAGGCTTCCGTTTGTCGCTACCTTCGGTATTAGCAGAGCCGCCAGGAAATTTCAACTCAAGCTTAATGTAACATTCTTTTGTATATCAAATTATTGATATATCAAACTATATTACGATCCCCTTTAAATTCAATATATCTGGGTTCGACTGTACTAAGCTGTTTTGTATGATAAATGAAAGTGTGCTTCAAGTTGAGAATACAAAGCAACGTTTGCAATGGGGGGCCTTTTCTTAGATTGAATTATAATAATGGCGAGATTCTCGTCTTTGCCGCCTATTTTTGATACTTTTGAGCGCGAGCAAATAGCAGTTACACTGACTTTCCCGTACCCTTTTCTTTCTCATGTATTTTATAACTTTTCGAAAACCACAAAGATGTTTTTGTTCTGTTCCTAACGTATTGCGAAGGTATACTACAAACATATCGCAAAAACCATAATAACTTTAGCTCATTGGGGGTTAAAGTTATGGAGACAATGTCAAGGGTGGTTGGTGTTTGAATTGAACAATTGTTTCATTGCCTAGGTGCTCAGCTTTGCTCTGGCCACCTGTCCAGGAGGTCGGGGTATTTCTCAAGACCTGTGAAGTATCTGAAGTTTTTTTCTTACCGAGAATGCAGCATCTGAAAGGCGCACTGCAACATCTGTTGTTTCTTTTGAAGTTGTATTATTTAAGTACAAAGGGCCTCCAGAGGCTGCATCTTGCTCCTGATGCATAGAAAGTTGCAGAAAGTGATGCAGGGATATTTATTACCTCGGTGTAATTGGTTTTGTCTGCAATATGAGCATGTGAAGTTATGACAACCATAGGGCAAATGAAAAAAAAGATATACCATAATATAGCCGATTGCGAACACTATTTCTTTTCGTCATAAACTAAAAGATAACTTTTATGCCATTTGGCTCTCTTGTAGCTCATTATGCAGAATCCTTTTATGTTCACTAGTTTGAATTCTCTGACATGTTTCATTTGTAATGGCATTTCATAGGAGCTAGGTTTTTGACATTAGCTGTAACCTAATGTTTTATCATGTGCTGAGGACAACACTAACTGGCAAACATGCTCTGGTGAGTGCAAAGACTCCAGTATGATGCCAGTTTGAGAGTGAATTCTGCATTGAGTGTGGGCTGTCCTTCTCCGGTCAGCTCTGTCGTGATAAAGATCTACAGCCCATTCGTTTCCGGTTCCCTCCGTTGCCTTCATGTGGGGATATCGGAGGTCCGACCTGTTGAAAGGCTGTCATCTCTAAATTATGTGTTTCTAATGAGTTTTCCATACAGTCGTAGAAGGAGCTTTGTCGTCAGAAGCCGTCCTCTCGTGTTGTCTCTTGACAAAGCCGGTCAGTGGTATACAAAGGCTTTTCTTTATTTTTTCTGGTTTTTTGTTGCATTTTTGTGCGAGTTATCGGATCAAAGAAAGATTCCGACTCTACCTGCAGTTTGGGGAGTCGGGACACAACGATATATGTGTGCGCTCAATTTTTTACACAAATGCCAATTCGCACCTTGTGAACCAGAAATCTGGGAGTAGTGTTCTAGATTGTCGTGCAAGTTTTTATACGTGCGGTGTTTTTTGTGCATTCACTACACCAGTTCTTGTGAGGCGTAGTAGTAGGAAAGAAAATGAACTGGGGCTGATTTTGAGTGAGAGTCTCAATCGTTTTTGAACAGACAGAGAAATGGGGCCATGTTCCTGTCACGTCATGCTCTCTACTTGGTGATCTCGTCAAGGATACAGGTGTTAAAAATTAATACTTTTGAATATACTCCTTACCGCTCACATTTTTTTCTTTAATTTCCATCTCAATATTGTGGACATGAAGTATTAGTATGACTTTGTTTTAGGTCATGCTAACCTTTATAGGGGCCCAGAAGCACGGAGGTGGCATTGCACTGTGCCTATATGTGTAGGTTACTTGGGGACCACATGTAATCCAGATTGCACAGAGTCGTTAGTCACTGCATCAAACGGCACTCGCTAGCGAGACCGGTGAAGCCGCCGTCTAGACGCCAATGTTTCACGTTTTGCTTAAATATTGTGCATCTTTTTCATTTTTTTACACATTCACTGTTCTAAAGTGATACCACTGTTGGAAGTGAGGTGTGAGCCTGCAATATATACTACACACTCTATACTTTGAGTCTTGTTGGGAAGAGGAATCTGACAAGGCGAGTACAATGGCGAATTCTCCTCGAGCTATCGAAACAAGTGCACTTGTCAAAGTTGAACATTTTGTGAAAAAATAAACTGTACTATATCTTGTTAAAAAGAAAAGAAAGAAAAAATGGTGGTCAGTGTTTTTTTTCTTACCACTACACCATCCTTTGAACAATGTTTGTCAGTCCTGAGAAGTTCGCAGTCTCAAATGTTGACTGAAATTAATATGGACAAACTAAGAGATTTATGTTTGATATGAGCACTCAATGTTTCAGCGAAGACTTAAAAAAATTCTACCTACAGTGAAACCCGTTCAGAACGAACCCAGGTACAACGAATTATTGTTGATATCGAACTCGCGGAAAATTTAAATAAAAATGCATGTAAAAAGTACTTTTTATAACGAACAACATATTGACTATATTGAACTTTTTCCCCCCGGGAAGGCTTCCAAAAACGTGCCAACAATCGCCTTCTAGCCTGTCACTTCCCCTCCACAAGAAAAAAAAAATCTAGGGAAGAAAGCAAATTCTAAAAGCTCAAGCCGCAAACGAAGTTGACAAAGAGAAGCGGTTAAGACTAGGAGAAAGTTAAAAAAAAAAACTGCACGCACTCAAAGAAAAAAAAAACTTCATCCTAAAGTGGTTGCCTACGAAGGGAAGTGATTTGGAGGGAAAGATAAGCTAAAAACAAAAACTGCAAGCATGCAACAAAAAAAAAAACATTCCAGCGCTTTGCTACGAGGTGTAAGAGAAGAGATGAGAGAGAAAAAGAAGCTCTCGTCTTACAACGAACACATCGTGGAAGTTCGTTGTAAACGGTTTTTGCTATATCGAACTGATTGGAGCGTTTCCTGCTGTTCGTTATAAACGGGTTTGACTGTATAATGTGGTTGAGGAAAATAGAACTATTTTTGGGAACAATTAAACTGCCAGCCACGGAAGATGTAAGGTATTGCAGGAAACACATTAATTGGCTAAACAAATAAAGGGGAGCTCCGGCAAAATATTGGTGAACATTGATATTTATAAAATTTCCACCTGTAAGTATGTCTACAAAATATTTAATAAAAAAATTAATTTTTTTTCGGGGAAAATTAAATATGAGGTTTACATGTACACCCCTGAATCATTTACTGCTGCTTTACTGATGGGCAGGGGCACTCATGACGCCAAATGTATCCGAGAGCAGTCGATGCACCTTACTTCGTGGCGTTGTGCGTTGTAGTCGTAGTGATGGTGAGCGTTCGCGGTTTTGCAAATTGCATTTAGTTCAGGCTGTTTGCAGCATGCGATGGAGGGTGGGGGAAAATTGGTGATTAACTGTGGGGTGCAATAACACCACAAGGAAATGCAGCAGAGTGACATCTTATGCAAAGAGCAAGTCATCTGCTTCTTGCGCAGGGGTTGCGGTGATGTCAGAACAATGCCGAGTTCTGACTGACTTTGATTAGAAGGTGCTGGATGCCTTGAGGTCTGCCTACTATTTTTTTCAATCGGCCAATAAGGGCTCGGCGTTCTGACATCATTGCGACCCCTGTGCAAGAAGCAGACCAACTTGTGCTTCGCAATGGTTTCCGATCAAGAAGTTTCTACGACAAAAGTGGGTCCGAGCACCCCGACGTGGATGCTGGCTCTTGCCGTTCACGTCGTGCTAGAAAATGGTTCTCGTCTTGCTAGCAAGTGAAACCTTCCATGCCATTCTGCTTCAAAGCGCCATCTGGGTCCACATGTCGGCAGATCATGAATGCAGCCCCCATGGGAGCTCCCCTCGGAGGCGATGCCGGCGAATCGAATACGAACTGCGAATTGTATGAAATCTTGTGCTGAAAACCTTAAAACATTTGCTGATCATTGCTTGAGACAAGCTTGATGAATTGTAGTCAATTATTTCCCATGGACGATTGGGACAGCATTTGACTGCTTCTGATGCTGGACAAAACAGGCTAAAGCTGTCCATCCATGTGCGAACCAGTAAAGTTGCAGGTTGTTTTGTTTATATTTTCTACAAGTAAAAACTGCGTTAAAATCATTTTTAGGAAATTTAGGCAGAAGGCTGGCGATGCAAATATACTGATTATATTCTTATAATTTTGCATTTTTTTTCGTCGCTTGAACCCTCAAACCCTCGTACAGAAGGCACAGAAGCACTTATACAGCAGTAGTAGAGAGAGAAAAAAATCCTGGAGGGTAGGAAGAAGAGGAGGCACCCTTACTAGGAAAACTCGGGAAACTGCCATAGAGCCTGCCTTGAAAAAGTGACTCCGATCTCTACCCGAGAAACAAACTAAAGTCGATTGCAATACCGCCATTTCTCCTGCAGCGGCCACTTTGGGAACTGCGTGGCTGTACGTATTGGTTCAGGTGGAGTTGCACAAGGGCGGGTGGTGCCATCTCGCAGTGCCATTTCACAGTAGCTATATAAATCAATTCTTTCATGTTTTGACTTGTCGCTAAAGGTCAGCACTGTTATTGTATCCAGTCTGGTTTCGGTGGATGCAAGCGGTTCGGGTTTTAAGGGCGAGTTTCTCAACAGTGTTTTAGTAATGTTGAGAGGAGGCGACATATTGGCTCACGCCAGCCAAATCAGAAAATCCCGAGTGAAACCGGAATTGGAGGCAGCGGTCGGTGGGAATGCCCCCAGCGGTGACCAAAAAAGCTGTTGGTGCCAAATCAACTGTCCTTTCCGTCCAATAGCATCTTTTGGTTTTGGTCATTGTTAGGAGCGTGTCCCTCCAAACCGAAAGTCTCCCCCAGCTTCACCTCTGGCGGCGTCGTGTCACCTCCAGAAGTGCCATGAGCTTCCTAGCTCTATGCAAAAAAATATGATGTCCCCCCAAAAAATGTTTTCACCGCGAAAACAAACTATGAATTGCTGAACCTTCATACTCCGCTTAAATTGAGGTAGCGCTAGAGGTCCGAACCAGGCAAAGCCTGATATTGGGAGAGTTTGGCAAGTGGGTGTGGTGACAAAGGCGCCGAAGAGGAGAAAAGTGAAGGAAAGGGATGAGAGCGTCGAAGGAGCGAGAGAGAAAGAAGTAGCAAAGAGAAGAAGACTGCCATTTTGACGCAACGCTGCTGGTGCAGAACACTGTTGAGGCTATGCGTTGTCTGCTACGAGCTTTCTTTTTTGCCTGAATCAAAATTTGCGTTCAAACGTGGAGAAACTTAATTCAGTAGCTTTTTAAGCCACCAAGGAATAACACTATATCATTTTCTTGCCAGAGCCTGCCAAATAAAAGTAAAGAACCGAAATTTGGATGTCGAACCTATTCCACCGGACGAATGAATAAAAATAGCGGCCCCCTCCGCTCAGCGGGGAGCAGCCGAGAGTTCATGAGCATGCGCTCACGTCTCTCGCTGTGCGCCGCAGGCTGATTGGCTCACTGGGGTGGGGGGCGTTACTGCGGCGGGATCATAGACTGGCCAAACTCTCCACGGCTCTGAAACCAGGTGCCAAAGTTTCAGGAGCGATTTTCTGCTAATTTCAATGGGAATGAGCATTTGGCAATGCGCATTTTATTTTTTGCGGTGAAAAACATGACGTACGCAACCGCAACCGCAACCAAAATCGAGAAGGACGCCCCGCACGAAAGTATGTTGCCCATTGTTGTGGTTGAGAATAATATAACATTTAAACTTGTGCATTTGTCAAATTTTAAGGTTCATTATATTTTTTTGTAGTTTGTCGAAGATCTTGTTTTATAACCAACCACTAGCGCCCCCTAGACTGCCTAGACTCTTGGTGTCACGTGTCACGTCACGTGACACGAAACAAGTGGCGACCAGTGGCGACCGTGGCGGCGCCAACATCGGGCATGGGCGCGGCGCGGGCGATTCGGGTGTTTTTAACTCGCACTGATCTCACTGTATGACTGTATTTGTGCGCGTGCCTTGTTGTGAACTTGTCGTCATGCCTTCGCACAATGAACCAAGAGTTTTATCAACCTTTGTGCTGCCTTCGGAACTTGTCGAGTCCTATCTTCAGGCCGGACGACCGGATGGTGGCATCAGGACCTCGGAAACGAGCTGGATACGAGACATGCAGGTAACCCTCGAACGTAGCAGGTTGGTCAGTCGGACACGTTTTGGGAGGAAAGGACGACGAAATACTCTTCCTTTGTGCAAAACAACGCAGCGTCTCGACGCCCTCTTCCCGTGTGCACGGTATGTTTCAGTTTCCAGTTTACTTTAGACAGCTGCGTCTTCCCGTTCACTCACTTTCGACTTCTGAGGACCATGTGTAGAGAAGCATTTCAGTGGCTCATACCATATCCACCTCTATCTGGGATGCCTGGTCAACGGCGTGGCGCACCGTTGTTTGGCTGCACGGGGCTACCTCCTCGGAGGCGCGCCGCTACGGAAATAGCCAAGTAGCCGAAAGTAAGCGCCAAAATTTTGTTCTCGTGTGTACTAGTTCAGGTCGAAAGCACTGCCCCTGCGCCTCTTGACTTTAGGAAGAGCATGAAAATAGGGCATTATGAAGCCTGCTAGTGCATGAAAAACATATTTGACCAACGCCGCCTGTGTACTTTGTGCCTGGCAATCGGCGCCGAATACAATGGGGACCCGCCGTCGTACGAAGTGCGCCCCGTCTCCGCTGTGCGTGGTGAGGGCGCTACGTCTGTAGGATCGCTAGTAGGGAGGCTCAAGTGAGGGTGGGTGCAACTGCTAGATCGGCGATCACGCGGCATGGACGCCATTTAATTGTTAAATTTTGCTGGGAGTCAATGGGGCAAAGGGTCGTTTTCTTTTCTAACTCGGGTCATAAAAGCCCATTAACTCTTAAAAGCCCATAGGGTTTCTATCAGTGATAGGAACATGAAACTCGCTAGAAATAATGTTTATTGCCTCACAAGCACAAATTAAAAAAGGTATGAAAATACTAATTGAAAGCCATTAATTAGGGCATGGGAATATTCTTCCCTCTGGGCCTTCAGTGTTACACATACTCTTAGTGAAACTTGGCAAAACAGGGCACCACACAAAGGTGTACTTTGCAAGTTGTGCATGTGATCTTTGATCTTTTGTCATTTTTGGCCGTGGAGCAGTCCCTACACCTCTTGTAGGCTGCTTCGCCCTGTGGGTAATGTGGCCCGTTGGACAGGCGCACCTCAT